CTTTGGGGCCGTGGAGCTCAGGAGATGTCTGCAAAGGACAGATGGTCGGGGGTGGGGGGCCTCTGGTTAGGAGGGGCTCAGGGGAAGGGGTGCCACTCCGTGTGACTTGTTGCACACAGCAGGCGCACTGTCCATGTGCCCGGGCCCCTCTAGCAGCCCCTTCTCAACCCCTCTCAGAACCTGAGTTACCTGGGAGCTGAGCAAAAAGCCAAGTCTCAGGCCCTGGCCTCAGATTGTTGACTTGGGACAACCGGGGTGAGCAGTGAGCCTAGGTGGCATCTGGGCTTGGGTTTCCAATTTAGGGAACAATGAGGGGGTTTGGAATCTGAGGGGTCACATTTAGCTGGTCAGGAGCACCATCCCCCAGAATCCTGGGCAGGCCGAGGCCTCGCCTGGCTTCTAGCTGCTGATGGGCTATTAGCTGGCCCTGCAGGCAGTGTGGGACAGGGGCTGGGCTGGCCCCGTGGCCCTGCGGCAGGGCACTGGGCACCCCCCCCAAAAACTGCACATGGATGAAATTATTACTGATCAGCAAGTGGCTAGGACATGGGCTGGCAGGGTGGGTGGAGCAGTCAGCCCCGGCCCACCATGGTCCTGCTGTCTCCAACCCAGGCCTCCTGCCTGCCTCCTGGATGCCCACAGTTGCCCAGAACCAGAACAGTTGCAGCCAAGGCTAGCATCCCATTTCCTCCTTTGCCCTAATGACAGGGCCCCCTACTGCCATGTCAGCAGGTCTCCATACTCAGGGGGAGGTGTCATCTTGTTCTCAAACCTTCTGCCTAGAGAGCAACGATGGGCAGAGGGACTTGGCTGTGACTTGTCTTCTCCAGTGGCAGGGAAGCTTGTGCAGGGCAGGCGCCTGTGCTGGTTTTGCCCACTGTGTCCTTCGTCACAGCCCAGCCCAGGACAAGGCCGGGGAGACTCATGCTGGCACGGGGCCCTGCAGTTCCCAGAGGCAGGAGGCAGCGGGCAGCAGAAAGAGCACGTGGAGTGGCCACTTGCTCTCTGTGGAAGGGTCTGCAGGGTGGTAGGTGGCTGAAGGGTTTGCCCTGTGACCCCACTGTGTGTGCCAGGGGACGGTAGTGGCTGCCAGACCTGGGTCAGGTATACCAGCAGGCCAGAGGGGCTTCTCCAGTGATGCTCCCTCCCCTCCCCTATTGCCCTTCCCCCACCCCACCTGTAGTCTCTAACACAGAGATCATCTCCGTCTGTCCCCTACCCCCAGCCCAGGCTTACCCAGCTTGGTACATGTACATACTCACTGTTCTAGAACACTCCCTAGCTTCCCACTGCCCCAGAGCCTTCCTTTTGCAGGGTTGTCTTCATAGGAACATTCCTCAAGGGCTCAGTTGGGTCTTAAAATACAACTATCACATATACTGGACACCAGAGTGTCTCGGGGCTGTGGATCATTCTTCCCAACTTGTCCAATAACCCTCCGGTCCGTGTGCACTCCAGATCGGCCAACAGGCGGAGGACCAACGCCTTGCTCAGGCCACACCTCGGGCTGTGCTCAGTGAGCCAGAGCCCAAGGCCTCCACATTCCCAATATCCTCATCGCATCAACACAAAGTCTCAGTGAATTCAGAATTAACTAATCTCTGCAAAGGCCCAGCCTGGTGTGACCTTGTACGTGCTGAGGGGCCCTGACCAGCAAACCCCGAAAAGCCAGGGCTGCCCCCCCTTCCCCCCTTAGCGGGGGCCCGACCACCGATCTTCAGCATCTTTCCACCTCCGCTCACAAGAGCTCTGTCCCTTGAGTCTCCCTCCGGGATCAGCCGGCCGCCCCCTCCCCGCAGTTACCACCCCGTGCGGAGAACTCCAGGCTCCAGGCCTACCTCGCTAACATCTGGGGTGCCCAGGACCCTTGGGACCCCATCCAGCCCAAGCCGCGCGCGGACCGCGCCCATCCCTACTCCACTCGGAAGAAAACGAGAGCGGTTCAAAGGTTTAAACAATTTATTGTGCCCCAAAAAGGCCGGCGGGATGAAGGGAAGGCCGCGCGGCCCGCGCCCCGAGCGATTGTTTGTCGCGCACCCGAAGGCGGAGGGTGGGAAGTGGGGATGGGCGGCGCGGGGGCCGGTCCTAGCGCGCCAGGGCCCCGCCACCCCGCGGCCCCCGCCGGGGCAGGCAGGCGCGGCCGCGGCCATTGGCGCCTAGGGGCCGGTAACCATGGCGACGGCCGTTGCCAAGGGCGAGAGCCAATAGGGGCGTCGCCAGGCCGTTTCAAAAATCTAAAGCAAAAACAACAACAAAAAACGCTACGGCGGCGGGGGAGGGGGGACGAAGAGGGGAATGGAGCGGGCCCCAGGCCCTCCGTGCGGCTCAGAGCAGGGGCGGCGGCGGCCCGGCCGGACAACCGTACAAAACACTTGGGGTAGAAAAACCGAACGCCGGGAAGACCCGGCAGGCCGGCGCGCTCACTTGCGGCCCTTGGGCACCTTGGGGACGCTGGGCTTGGCCGCCTTCTTCACCTTCTTGCCCCCGGCGGCCGCCGCCTTCTTAGCCTTGCTGCCTTTGTCCTTCTTGGAGGCGGCGCCCTTCTTGTGCGAGCGCTTCTCGGGCTTCTGGCCCTTGGCCGGCTTCTTGTCCGCGCGCCGGGGGCCGGCCGCGCCCGGGGCCGCCTTCTTGGCCTTGTGCGCGGCGGGCGCCGGGGCGGTGGCGGCCGCCGTGGCTCCGCGCCGCTCGCCGCCGCCCTCCAGCTTCTTGCGGTTGAGCTTGAACGAGCCGTTGGCGCCGGTGCCCTTCACCTGCAGGAGCGTGTCGTTCTGCACCAGCGCCTTGATGGAGTACTTGAGGTAGGTGCGTCCGTTCTGCTGGTCGAACCACGCCACCTTCTTGGCCTCCGTGTAGATCTTGGCCAACGACGAGCCGTTGCGCTCGCCCAGCCTGCGGATGGTCTCCACCACCAGCTGGCTGTACTTGCCCGGCTGGTTCTTCTTCTTGTTGTTCTTTCTCTTCTTGGATGGGGACAGCGTCGCCGAGCCGCCAGCCTTGGCCGCCTTCTTGGCCGCCCCCTCGGCGGTCGTCAGCGGCAGGGCCTCCTCGAGCTCCACAGACATGGTGGCGAGCGGGTTGGTGGCGGGCGGGGCGCGAAAGCCCGGGGGCCGCGCCGGGAAGAGGAAGGCGAGGGGCCGAGGGGGCGCCGGGGGACTGGGGGCGCGCGGCGGCTCCAGGCGGGAGCGGCCGCGGCCGGGCCTGGGGCCGGGCGGCAGGGCTGGGGCGGGGGCCGGGCCGGCCGGAGCTGGGGATCTCGGGCCGGGGCCGGAGCTGGAGCCGAAGCCGGAGCCGGAGCCGGAGCGGAGCGGGGTGTCGGGGCAGATGGGGCTGGAGCCGGGACCCGGCCGGAGCGGGGAAATATCGGCCAAGGGAGCGCCGCGGCTGCTGCTGCCACTGCTGTCGCCGGATCTCGCTGGGCGTGCGCGCTGCGCTCTGGTGAAGAGGGCGCTCTGCTCCGCTTTTATAGCTCCATGGCGGACCACGTTGAGAACAACAACAGCCTGGTCTGGAGCCAGCGCCAACTTGTGCTTCTTGCAGCCCCTTCCTCGGCCGCTGGCTTCCCGGACCGCGCCTCCCGGGCGCCACCGAGCCCACAGCCGAGCGCCCCGGACAGGGCCCGAGCCTGCGGCGCAGCGGAGAGGCGGCCTGCGCCCGGGAAGGGCTCGGCAAAGGGGAACGGAGGGGTGCACCCTATGCTGCGGGAGCGCGAGAGGAGGGGGGCACCCGGTTTGGGGGCGAATAGCGCGGGTCCCGGGGGAGGCCGCGCGGCCCGGAGCTTTGGGCCCGGCAGCCAAGAGTGCGCCACGGCCACCCAAGCCCTGAGCGCGGTCAGGGGGCCTCTGGCCTGCCCGCAGGACCAGCTTTAATTTGTCCGAACTAACACAGGGCACGCCCTCACGTGGTCGGCTGGGGCAATGTGAAGTGTGCTAGGACATCTCCGAGGGGGGTCTCCACCCGCGTCCGAGGGGACGGCGGCTGGAGGCGCCCTCCAGCTGCGCGCCCGGGGTCTTGTTATGCCTCAGGGGCCTGAGCACCGCCCGGGAGGAAGTGGGGGACGACCGCAGGTGTCTCTCTGCGGACATTTCCCAACCCCCCCCCCCAACTGGCGCTGATGCTCCAAGTGCCCCATTTTGTGCTGTGGAAGTAGCCGCCACCGTTCGCCCCAAAGCCAAATGGCGGTTCCATGGTGGAGCTGGTGGAGCGAGTGTCAGGCTGCGACCCCCAAAGGAGTTCTTGGACAGGGTGGGGGAGGGGAGGTGCTGCGGCCACACCCCTCCCCCTGTCCTATGGGAAGGGCGATGGAGAGCGGGTCCCGGAGACTGCTCTCCTAGCTCTCTCTCTGCCGGTACCAGGCGAAATCCTCCGCGGGGGCTTGTGCAAGTCTGGCGGCTCTGAGCTGGGCGGGGTGCCGCAGAACTGGTGCCGAGGAGGCGCCGAACAGTCTCGAAGCCAAAGAAGCCTCTACTTGGGGAAGCTGACACCATGGGGAGACACCCCGGGAGGAGAGCTGATCCCTTTGGAGTAAGTGATTTTAGGCCCGAGCATGGAGGGGTGGATAGGACGGGATGGTAGAAATTGGGGTTCCAGGGTGGAGAGAGCTGGAGGCCATGAAGTCCGGGAAGGGGAAGCGCGGGGGTGGGGGGTGGTGTTCTGGGCCTTCTACCCCAAGAGGCCCCTGTCTGCACGCACCCTTTTCCCAGAGCAAGCACAGACCCCATTTGCCCCTCAGACAAACTAGTGAATAAAGCCCAGGAGAGGAGGAAATTGAAGCTGGGAAATGTGAGCCCCGGGTGGGTTTTTTTGGAGTGGGAGGGCGGTCAGTGGCATTGAGCCAGAGGAGGACTTTGTCCCCCAGGGCAGTGAGTACAGCCCATAGGAGAAGGAAGATAAACCCAGGTCCCTGCAAAAAAGGCCAAGCCCCTCGCCCAAGAAGGAGGACCCCCCCGCCCCCCCAGTGAACTGTATGTCAAGCCAGGAAAACCTTGTCCGCCAAGGTGAGGAAAGACCATCAGGAATCTCCTAGCAGAGACTGGGGTGGGTTTCTGAAAGCACCTGTTGGCTGAGCCCTGGAGGTGGCTGGGGAGCAGAAAGGTCTTGCAGAGACGGCATGGCTTGAGCAAAAACCACAGGTTCCGGAAATGCGAAGTGTGTGCAGGCTAGGCGACATGGAGGATGTAGTGCAGTGATAGAGAAGCAGTAAGGTGGAGCTGCCGCAGCCGCCGAGGAGTGTCTGTCCAGGAGCAGAAGCCGTCCTAGACGGAGCAGAGGGCACAGAGGTGGGTATGGCACCCCCTAGCACTGTGGACCAGGGTGCTCAGAGCTGGGGCTGGAACAGGGACACCAGGAGGAGAGCTGGCCCCAAGAGACCAGCTGGAGCGGGAGGCAGCCAGGTGACTGGCCTGGAGGGGCTTGAGCTTGGTCTCTGAAAGGTCAGAGGAAGAGTAGAGGGTGATGCCCCTGGTGGCCCCCCAGCATGGGCAGCAAGGGCACCCTCAGACTGATATTTGCCCAGCCATCCTGGAGAGAAGGTCGCTGGAAATGTGAATCTGGAGCTGGCTGCAGCAGCAGCCTGGGTCAGGGCTGTCTTCCCGGGGTCACTGTGGAGGGAAGAGGAGGATGTGGAAATGGTAGGAAAGGAAGAGCTGCTCCATGGGAGACAGAAGAAGAATGGTCAGAGAGGAAGGAGGGACGCAGGTGTGGCTGCTGTCACGGAAGCTAAGGAGGAGAGAGTTTCAAGAAAGAAGTGCCTGTCTGTCACAATGCAGCGCATTCAGAAAGTGGATTGATCAGTCGGCAGAGTGGGCAGTTTCAGCGGAGCTGGAGAGACTGGGAAGCTTCCAGCCTCCGAAACCCTCTGGCTGGGATCTGCCGGTTTTGCCCAGTGTTTTAAAAACAAAAATGAAACGACTAAATTAGGTCCGGGATTGAAAGATCAGGTGATTTCAGATAAAAATGTCTCCAGATTTCAGCTTTCCTTTAAAAAAAAGTCTGAAGATTCACCCCGGGTGGGGGCGGAAGGAACAGGGCCTGAGTAACTGTTACCCCTCTAGATGGGCCAGACTCCCAGCACCTGGTCAGTTTGGGGGGTGTGGCCAGTGTGGGGCAGATGGAAGGTTCTTCAGCCCCGGGGGGAGACCTTGCTGTAATTGGAGGGGAGAAGGAATCAGTGGAGGGCATGGATATTTGCAGGCAGGGCAGTGTGACCCAGGCCATTGGGAGGACGTAGAAGACAGGGCTCAGAGTCCACACCAGCCCTGGTGGGCTCCTTGGCCTGCTCCTGGTGGAGCAGGTGCTTTTGCTGTGGGGAGGGGGGTACTGCCTGTGGACGTGTGGAGCAGGGCTCCGGGAGGCTAATTCTAGGGCCTTGGGAATTGGCAGAGACCAAGTGGTTTCATCCCACTGGCCTCGTCATAACAGATGGGGACACAGGCTTGACAGGCTTGGGGGATGGAGGATAGTGGCTTTGTCCAGTTAGCCAGGATTCTAGGCCTGGGGTTCTGCCAGCCTTCAGGGATGCTTCTCAACCCCCACACTCCCAGGCAGCCCCCCCACCATCACCCTTCTAAGGAAACGCAGGTGGGGAAGGCCTCAAGTAACCAATGAAAAATGATGGAATCTGGAGAAAGAAACATCTGGAAGTGGCCAGGGCCTAGCAGAGATGACCCCCTCCTGCATCCACCCCAGGGCAGACCAGTCTTGGAGTTAAGCTAGGGGCAGAATCAGGGTGGGTAGGTGGGTCCTCTCTCCTCCAGTCCTGGGGCTCCAAACACTGTCCTTACACCGGTGACACCCCATTTATGTCAGCCCTCATTCCCGACTCTCTCCTGACCACAGACTGGCCGCCAGCTGCCTGCCGCCAGCTCCACTGGGATGTCCAGGCACATCTCTTTCCGGGTGGTGGCTAAAACAGAACTCTGTTTTCTCTTGCAAACCTGCTCCTCCCCAAGGTTTCACAGACAGTTCTAGCCCCAAAGCACAGACTCGGCCCCGATTTCTTTTCTCCTCTACCCTCTCATTCAATCTATAGATTCCTGTCACATCTGTTCCCAAACAGGTTCCTCTCCAAGCCCCCGAGGTCTCCACCCTTCCCCTCTGGGCTCTTCAGCCCTCTCCACGCAGCAGCAGATGGAGTGGCTAACACAGAAGTCTGATCTCCTGCATCCCCCCTCTGCCAAAGGGCTTCGGGCAGCTTCTCATCAGATTTAGGATGAGTCTGCACTCAGCTGCACTGGCCTTTTTGTTCCTCACACAGACCGGGGGCGGGGTCCCACCTCAGGGCCTTTGCACTTGCTGTGTGGCGGACTGCAGTTACTCCCATCTCAATCCTTGAGAGCCTCTTCAGGGTAGCCGCCTAGTCAGCCTGGCTGAATACCGCTCGAGAATTCCTGTATCACATCACCCTGCTTGATTTTCTTCATAGCACTTATCATTATCTGACCCTGTTTCATCTATTTACATGTGTACTGGGCGCTCTGCAAGAACAGAGTTGGGTCTGCCTTGTTGCCCGCCCAAGCCCAGCCCTGGGCACACCCCCTGCCTGGTTGCTGCCCCTGCTCACTGCCGCCTGAAGATTTGCCTGCAGCTGCCACACCGCGCCGAACAGTCTTTCTCGAAGCCAAAGGAGCCTCTACTTGGGGAAGCTGACACCATGGGGAGACACCCCGGGAGGAGAGCTGATCCCTTTGGAGTAAGTGATTTTAGGCCCGAGCATGGAGGGGTGGATAGGACGGGATGGTAGAAATTGGGGTTCCAGGGTGGAGAGCTGGAGGCCATGAAGTCCAGGAAGGGGAAGCGCGGGGGTGGGGGGTGGTGTAGCTTGTTGGGTGGTTGGGTGTAGCTTGTTCTTTGGAATAGCTGCAGAGTGGCCCACAGTGCAGCGCTGTTTCAATGTGGGCTGGGGAGTCAGGAGTTCCTGGCTGGGCTTGGACCCTGGCACTCCCACAAACTTCACGTGTGACCCATAGCTCCCCCCACACTACTCTGCCCTCAGCTCCCCAGTTTGTGAAAAGGGGTTGGATGTGTGCAGCGCCCTCCAGCTTTGGCAGCCTGAGTTTGGACTTCTGCACAGAGATGCCCTCAAGAGAAGGGAGGACCTGCAAGAATACAGCCTTCCTGGAGGATGAGACACAAAACAGAGACCCTGTGTCAGGCAGAGTGTGGCAAGTCTGGGTCTAGGATGCAGAACCCTGGGCTCTGGGAGGGCTCCTGTGCTTCTGTCAGCCTCAGTGTTATCATCTGTAAAAGGGGTATCCGTCCTGGAGCTCAAGCGGAGGCACCTCCACCTGGGAGGGATTCAGATGGCCTGAGTGGGAGTCACCAACTCAGGGACTGGATTCAGAGGCCCTGCCGCCTGAGGGCCCCTCCTCAGGGAAGGCCCCGTTGGCTGTTACCTGCTGAGGTTATAGTTGAGGGCCAAAGAGTGTCTCCCCAAAATGTGTTTTAAACCGAGAGGTTGGCTTCATCCTAGGCCTGGACCGGGAGCGAGGGTGGCAGGGCCCAGTTTGGGATTTAAAATGTAAATAGGCATTAAGTACTTTTCAGCATTTAAGGGGAGACAAAGGGAAATTCACCAGGCGAGACTGTGGAGAAGGTTGCCTTTAAGATGCAAATGTGTATTGTGAAGGCCTGAATGGGGACGTTGTTAGGGGCCCTGGCCCCTTGCCCCCTGTGGCTGGGCAGAGGGCTCTGAGGGGCCGGTGGGTCTGACTGAACCCGGGAGAAGCGGCCAGAGATCAAAGGAGTGGACAAGTCGTGCTGAGGCTGAAAGGGTGCAAAACGTGGGGGCTGAGAGAGCTTAGAGTTCCCAGACACCTCACTTGGAGGGAGCTTGCTGACCCCTTCAGTAGGAACTGGGCCCCAGCTCTGCCGGGAGACTGGGACAGGCCAGGGGCCTGGTTCCTAAGCGCAGCCGGCCCATGCTTAGGGCACCAGCAAAACAGGAGCCCCACAGAGGGTTCCAATAGGATACACATTGTTTAAGGATGGAGGTAGGTAGTGCGCATCAGGGAAGAAGCCAGACCTTTGTGGGACCTCACACAGCATTAAGTTTGGTTTTCATTCTGAATTGCATTAAGCAAGAGGGATGGCAGGCCCACGTGCACACGTCTGCATGGGGCCTCGAGGCACCCGGGGACCATGGTTGAGTAAGAATCCCCAACCTAGAGATAAGGCCCACAGAGGCGACAGAGTTGAGGATGATTGGAGATTTGCACCTATCTCCAGAATTGAGCCACCTCCCTCTGTCCGTTCTCCAAGAGCTGTGAAGGCTGCTGGACCGAGCAGTGAGTGGGTGCAGGAGAAGAGGGAGGTGGGGGCCCGGCCAGGCCCTGCTGTAAGTCATGCTGCCTCTTTCCCCAGGTCTTCTTTTCCCCCATTTCTTTAAAAGCCCATTAGTTTTTTCTCAGTAAAGTTACTCGTGGTCTAAAACTCAACGGTGCAGAAGGATGCGAAGTGAAAACAAAGCCCCTGCCCCTCAGTCCCACGGCCTGGACACAGCCCCGCTCCCGGCAGGGGCACGCGGCCAAACGGGCACAGTGGTGCTTCTTGCTTTGTTAACCTGGACGGCTCAGTGGGCACATTGGGTGTAGCTTGTTCTTTGGAAAAGCTGCGGAGTGGCCCACAGCCTGTGCCCGGCGCTTTATTTAACCAGCCCTGTTGATGGGTGTGTAGAGCTGTTTCAATGCTTCCATGACTCTCTTCACTAGCCTGGAAATATCTACGGGATTCATCCTATAATTGGGGTTTTTCTGTCAAAGAGAATTGTCAACTTTTGGCGACCTGTGGCCAGGTTGTCCTCAGAGACTGCCCCTCCCCTGCACCCCCCATTTCCCCTTCCCCTGCCCTGTGTCCCCACCTGGGGCCTGTTTCTGCTAACCAGTGCCACCCCGGGGGGGGAGCACTCAGACCTCAGGATTTGGTTTTCTTCCTTTTCACGTTTTGTAACCCCCAGCTTGCGTTATGTGTGCTCTTCCCTGGACCCCCATCTCAGGGGCCGCCATCACTCCTCAGGGCCTTCCCCACCCCCAGCCCGCCACCCCCACTGCCCCCTCCTGTGGGCTGTGGCCCAGTCTAGCAGTCTGCCTTCTGCCAGCTTTTCTAACTTCACATCCCATTCTTCATCCCTGTCAGAGGCCTCAGCTGCCGCGTGTCTGCCTGGCCGCGCTGGGCTCTGCGGCTCACCAGAGCCCTGACTCCCCCGTCCTGGGGTTCCTGGGGCTTGGAAGTGGGGTCTCTGCCCAGCCGTCCAGCCGTGTGTGGCACAGGGCCTGGCACAGGCGCTCAGAGCTTGGACGAAGGCTGAGGGTTCGAAGGAGGGAATGAGCAGTGGAAGCCGGAAAATGGCTTCTCCAGGCCCCGCCCCTGAGGAGCTGTCCCCGCCGCCCAGGCTCACCCTTGGGCGGGGATCAAGGAGAGAAGCTCAGAGGAGCTGGGTCCCTAGAGCTAGGGGGGCAAGGCCGGGGTGAGAGGAGGGTAGCTCCCCGCCCGAAGCCTTCAGGGGGATTCCTTTCCTTGGGGGGCAGTCCTGCGCCCCCCCCCAACCCCAGCGCCAGCTTACAGGCTCTGAGCGGGGAGCGCCAGCCGGGCTGGGGTCCAGGACCCCGCAGCCTCGCCTCTGCCCCTGTGGGAAGTGCCGGCTCGGAAGGGAGCCTGCCCCGCAGGGCTTGGCTTCCCGAGGTGGGCGATGCCAGAATGGTCTCCCAGCCTCAGACGTGTGGTAGAGCTTGACATCTCTTCTCCACAAGCCTCTGAGGCCCGAGGAGCTGGGACAGGATCAAAAAACCATTCTGGGAGGGGGCTCCGGACAACCAGGACAAAGCCTGACAGAGAAACCACCTTCCTAGGTCTTCCTGCGCCGTCAGCCCGGGCGGCCTGCTCTGGCCGCCGCTGCGGCGCCGTCCCTGTTGGCTGAGGTGCAGGCGAGGGAGCCTTGGCTTTACCTCCCTCTCTCACAAGCAGTCTCAGTTTGTGGACCAACTTCCTTCTTGGGGAAGAACTGAAAGCCCTAACGGGTGGGAGAGCAGCCTGCGGCCCCCTGCTCAGCAGATGGAGTCGGGGGCACCACACTTGCCAGACACCCAACGTTCCCAGGCGGCTGGGGGGTGGGGGGGGCAGTGTTTCTACCTCCACTGTCCAGATGAGGAAACTGAGGCTTCAGAGAGGTGAGGTAATGTCCCTGATGATATCCGGCCAGGAAAAGAGGGCAAAGCACTTGCTGTTTACCCCATCGCAAGTAGCCCCCCTCTGCCACCTCCAGACACTTTCTCATACTTTGCTTTATACCACTTATCACTTTCTGAGATTATCCTGTCTCGTGCCTGTCGTCCCCACTAGAGCAGGGACCCTGTCTAAGTCACTGCTGCATAGGGCCTGGCACATAGTAGGCCCTCAATAAATATTTGTTGAATGAATGAGATGGGATTCAAACCCAGGTCCGGCTGGGAGGCCTGTGCTTCCTGTCACAGCACTGACCCTACACGGGTCACAACTCAAAAGTGTTTGTGCACTGAGCCTAGCAGAGCGGACAGGGACCCCACAGGGTTGTGACACCTTTGAAAACCCTAGTGGAAAGCCTACTGCGATCTTTGCGAGGCTCACAGAATTTTATTTCATAGTTATTTGCTTGTCCAAATTGGGGATCCTGAACTGGTCAAGAACGAGTTAACAAATGCCCTGGAAGTTTCCTCCTGCAATGAGGCGCACCCTCAACCTAGACTCTGCTCCCTAACTGCCATTATCTGAGGGGGGGCCCTGAAGAGTGGGGACGTTATGGCTGCTCTGAGTAGCAGGTAGCAAAGACGGGCCACTTCGGACGGCCACCTGCCACCTGGCTCTGCCACGGCCTCCTCCTCCTCCCCCAAGTTCAATCCAGTCCTTCTTCCACTTAAAGGCAGCCGGAGGAGCTTTTAAAAAGGCAAACCAGAGCTTGTCGCTGTCCTGCTTGGACCCGCCAGCGGCTCCCCCCCCACCCCTCGTCAGGCCCTGCAGCCTTCAGGCCCTGCTGACCTCTTCGACTTTATCTCCCGGCGCTCCCGCCCTCCACGCCAGGCACACCCCGCACGGTGCTGTACTGGGCTGCCGTACCAGGCATCCTGCTGCCTGGTCCCCCCTTCCCGACCACCCCCCTCGTCCGCACTAGCTCCCTCAATCCTGTCATCCTGATTCCTTTTCTCATAAGGTTCCTCTAGCTACGTGAGCTTTATCTGCTTGCTTTCTGTCCCCCTGCCTCCAAGACCTTGTCTGTCTTGTGTAGCATCGAATGATGAGAATCTAGAAATGAATCTAACTCCTGGCCCTAGTCAGATTCCAAAACATATTTGGGGAAGGGGAAAAAAGCCCAAATCAATGCCTAATCTGGAGCCTGACATAAGTAGCTCTCAGAAAATGTGTTCCTTTACTCCCCTCTTATCAGGTCATCTTTCTTGAAAGAGGGGGCCTTTGAGGAATGCTTTGGGACCATCAGGGGATTGAATGGAAGGATCCTTAGCCCATGTCTTATAGTCTCATCTGCCCTGCACCTCCCCCCCCCCCCGCCCCCGCCATTTTACACGAAGAAGCTGAGGTCCAGAGAAGAGGCAGGGCCCACTCGGGCCATTTGGATTATACTCCAAGTCTAATTCCCGGTCCAGTGCTCTTGCCCCACCTGACCCCCTCGTCTGTCCAGTTGAGAAAGCCTCAAAGTGAGTCTCTCTGTTGCCAGATCTTCACAGAAGCCAGGTTTTCCCCAAGCCCCCATCGGATCCTGCCCACCCCTGCTGAAACACTTGGGCAGCTTCCCATCACACTTAGAGTAAAATCCAAACGTCTCCCCACAGCCCAGAAGGCCAGGTGTGGTCTGCACCCTGCTGGTCTCACTCCTGTTCCGACCCCGGCTCCCCATCACTGCTGGCCTCTCTGTCCATCCCTGGGACAGCCAAGCCACACGCCAAGGCAGTGCCATCGTGCTGCTGTTCCCTCTCTTCTCAGACTTTGACGGCCTTTGTCCCTTTGTGCCAATCAAGTTAATGTCCTCAGGGAAGCCCTCCCTAAACACCCCGTCTGAAGTAGGGTTACCCCCCCACACCCCACACCCCACCCCCGCATCTTTCACAAATCACCTTTCCATGTTTTCCTTCACAGCACTTATCACCACCTGAGAGTTTCTGGATGCATAGCCCTAGTTTCCCTGCCCCACCCTAAGATCAGCTGGTCTGGCTTATCACCAAATCCTCTGTACCTGGCACACGATAGATGCTCAATAAACATTTGTTTGAATAAATGAAATAAAAAGGGCCCTCGTGGGGTACAGAGATTTGGCCTGGTCTTTTCTGTCCCACGCAGTAAACTAGGTGTCTGGAGAGCCTGGGGGTGGCGTTGAAGGCTAAGGCGGCATCTCCGCGCCCGCCCGCCGCCCCCCGCCCCGCCCCGCACACACAGGACTGTCAGGATGGCCGAGAGGCGGCGGTTCACCGAGCGAGCATTTGCAAGGACCGCGACGGCTGGCGTTGGTGTGTGCGGTGCATGCAGGCTCCCTGCGCACCGACGGGTGCCCGAGGAAGGGTGGCTTGCGGGGCATGTGGGCAGGACGGGCACGCCAGCTGCGGCCTGAGGGGCGGCTTGGGGTCTGGGGAGCGGGAAGGACCTCCTCAACGCTAGGGTTAATGTGGCGTAGTTCAGGTACGCGACGACCGAGGCCAGGTCCGGGGTGGAGACCTCTGGGGGCAGAACCGAGAGGGTTCCCGGGACACACCGGACAGATGTTCAGTGCGGGCTGCCGCGCTCCTGGCCCTTCTCTACAGGGGAAGCAGCGGTGAGTGCCTAGCCTTTGCCGCGTGCAGCTGCCTCAGTCAGGGCCTCTCCAGACCGGGAGTGGAGTAGCCCCCCGCCCCCCAGCCCCTCCGTGTCACAGGCGCCCCGGGCACTCGGGGGATCGCCTCCCTTCCCGGCCTCTGCCCACGAGGGGGCGCGGGACCCTGCGTTTCTGTCCCGCTGCCGCCGCCGCCGGCGGGCGCCCTGCCTTCCCTCTCCCGTCCGCCCCGCCGCCGCCAGAGGTCAGACCCGCCGGACCAGGCCGGGGTGGCGGCGGCGAGGAGGCAGCCCCCGCACAGGCTCCGCGCGGCCGTTAGGCGTTGGGCGCGCGCCCCGCCCCCCGACGTCACCGCCGCCGCGGCCCGGCCCCGCCCCCGTCTCCACGGAGACCAGCACGCTTCCCGGCGCCCGCCTCCCAACTGCAGTCCCGCTACTGCTCCCGCCTGCGCCTCGCGCTGCTGTGGACGCCGCTGCTGTGCGCGCCGTGAGTCGGGGTCTCCCAGACGCTTATTAACGTGCAGACCTCCAGACTGCCTTCTCTGAAGAGTCGGGCAATAGGTTCAGGGAGGGTCATGGGAATCTCTCCTTTTTTTTTTTTTTTTTTTTTTAAAGATTTTATTTATTTGAGAGAGAGCATGAGAGGGAAGAGGGTCAGAGGGAGAAGCAGACTCCCTGCCGAGCAGGGAGCCCGATGCGGGACTCGATCCCGGGACTCCAGGATCATGACCTGAGCCGAAGGCAGTCGCTTAACCGACTGAGCCACCCAGGCTCCCGGGAATCTCTCCTTTACCAGGGCGATTCTTATGATCGATGAGGATCGGCAGGTTTGGGAAAGGAATTAACCAAAGCCTAGAGAGTTTAGACCCTTGGGTATTGTTACTAGTAATCCAGGACCTGCATTAGAACTTTGCTGCAGCACGGTTCTCCTGAAACGTTGCTAATGTTTCCCTGGGGTGGAGCCGAAGCCAGACTCCAGGGGTTTGTGCCCTGGGCACAGATCACCCCGGATAATTTGCCCCCCACGGGGCTGCAGTGAAGGAGGTTCTGAGAGGGTGTTGTGTAAAGGGCCTATCTCCCCTCCGCTCTCCCCAAGAAAGCCCCGGGAAAGACATTGCTTTGGGGACTGCCAATCCGCAACAAATCTTAAACTATCACAGAAGCTCTTAAACTATCACAGAAGCTCTGCAAAGCTGACACTGTCTTGGATCTTGAACTGGGAGGCTGAAAGAATATTCCAGCACCCACCTGTGGTCTCTCCCACTCAGGCTAGGCCACATCTAAGCCTGCCCAAGAGACCAACTGCTGGTCTTGGAACACCCCCAGAACAGATTTTTAGCTACCTAGAGTCCCCGCAGAGGAACCCATGGGTTAAAAATATACATACTGGGGCAGGCTGACCTGAAAGGTGACTTCTAGGGTGACATGGTGAACTGAAAGCTGGTGCACACCTGACTTAATGTAGCGCCAGCTAGCAGAGCTAGCCTCCAGAATGACCTTTTAACTGATCCCCACTGACCACAGGATGAAGCACTATTCCTGATGCTGCCTCAAGGCCTGTGCAACAAGAACCTGCGGGCCTCTCCATGTTTGGAACCCACGCTGCCAGCCCCAGTGGTTACAATGAACACCGGGGACCAGTGCTTCTTAGACTTGCCTGATCATAAAACCACTGGAGACATAATCACATGTAGAACACCACACTCTGCACGTCTCAGTACCTGGCTCACACCCAGCCTTGAGGTGCCCAAACGAAGCTCAAAAAAGCTGCAACCAATTCTTGGGCCCCTTTCTGGCTGGCTTATGTGTTAATCAACAACCTGCCTTTGTCGGTAACCCAGTACCCTACTCAGGCACACCAGTGATCAGGGACCACATTGTTCTGGTGAGTCTGTGCCTCTTTCCTATCCAGGTGAGGCATCCCGAAGGGCTGGGATATTCACCGTTTCCTCTGTGACCATATACATGTGCATATAATAAAGGCATGTGAAGAGCAGTTCTGCGGGCTTCAGGCCTTGATTAAGAAAGGAAAAGGGGTTTTCCTTTTCCTACACAGAAACGCACAAAGCAGGAATAGAAATAAACCTCCGTGCCCACTAATACTAGTCTCTTGCCAACCTGTCATCTTACAGGGCCAGGGATGCTAGAATATAGTGACTCCCAGCTCCTTTCCTAGTTCTGTATGGGGCCTTAAGCCAAAAGCCTCTGCTGATTAATCACCATCTGGACGTGTGGTTCTCCTGTACGCTTTTTTAAAAATACCAGTGCCTTCTCTCAGACCAATTGAATCCAAAGCGCTGAAGGTAGGGCCCTGGCATGAGGATGTTTTAAAGTTCTAGCTCTCCAGACAAGTCTAAGCATCACGGAGGGGGAGAATGACTGTTTCAGGTCATGTGTAAATACTGTCTTAGCAGCTCAAGCTCTGCAGCCCAACCTAAGGAGATGAGCTCCAGGGGCTCCCAGTGGTCAAAGGGGCAAGCTTCTGGGCATCCCGGCTTCCAGAATGCAGAGCAATCTGAAGCTGGGATAAAAGGGAAGCCTGGGAGGGGGCATATCACACTTCCCTGGACCATTTCACAAGGGAGGGAGGGGTGCCCAAAAGGCATTCTCTTTTCCCTTCAGCTCATACCTCCTTCCAGCAAAGCTGGCAGGGGTGGCCCACAGGCTCTCTTACAGCATTTTAGCCAAAGAAATCATTCCTCACTCCTCCCCAACACTGCAAAAAGCTCACCCTCCATTCATATAAGGGAGCTGCAGACAGAAGGCTACAGAACTCAGAACTCAGTAGCTCTCAACCTGGCCTGAGAGCTGAGTTTATATCCCTTGGTCTTGCGTGCTGTGTGATTTTGAGTACTCACAGCCAGCCTCCGCTGCAGCTGGGAGGGAGGGCTGATACCAAAGAGGTGGGGCAGTTGCGGGGAGACCTGGGGTTTCTGTGAGGCTAAGCCCTATTTTCAGGTTCGTGGACTAAATTTAGGTACTAACTGCCTTTGACCATTTTACATTAAGGGTGTCCTTTTTTAAATAAAATGTACGTAACATAAAATTTACCATTTTAATCATTTTTAGTGTACAGTTCAGTGCATTAAGTATATTCACAATGTTGTGCAACCGTCATCACTATTTCCAGAGTATTTCCATCATCCCAAATAGAAACTGTACCAACTAAATATTAACTCTCCATTCCCTCTGCTCCCAACTTCTTTCTTTCCTTCTTTCTTTCTTTTTTTTAAAAGATTTTATTTATTTATATGAGAGAGTGTGAGAGAGACATCATGAGCAGGGGGGAGGGGTAGAGGGAGAAGCAGGCTCCCCACTGAGCAGGGAGCCCAATGTGGTACTCGATCCCAGGATCCTGGGATCATGACCTGAGCTGAAGGCAGATGTTTAACCGACTGAGCCACCCAGGTGCTCCTTCTTTCTTTGTTTCTTCCTCCCTCCCTCTCTCATTCTCTCTTTCTTTCTTTCGACAGCTTGAGCATGCAAGTGGGGATGGGGTTGGGGGCACAGTGTGGAGCCTGATGTGGGGCTCCATCTCATGACCCCATGATCATGACTCCAGCCGAAATCAAGGGTCAGATGCTTAACCAACTGAGCCACCCAGGCGCCCCAGGAGCCCTTGCTTTTAAATAATCTTGACTAATAGGAATGTTTCTCATAGACACCATTGTAATTCTAGGTTGCTTTTAGTAAGATTTCATCATGTTTGGAAATATCTATAGATTCTGGCAGTGGAAGATGTCACACTTACCTGTTTAAATTTAAAAGATTCTTTCTTTTAGCTAAGCCTTTTTGGGTCCTTAGAGCCTGAGGGATGTGCCATGGGTTTGGAGATTGTGTGGTGTTTTACAGTGTACCTGTTGCACAGAAATTTTCTTGAGGTTGGCAGGAGACCCAGTGTCCATCTATTCCATTCCATGACCAATTTGTCCTAACATGGGAATCCTTGGGTTAGGTGGTGAGCATTCCAACAACTTTTATTTTTTTTATTTTTTCTAAAGATTTTATCCATTTATTTGACAGACAGCGAGAGAGGGAACACAAGCAGGGGGAGCAGGAGAGGGAGAAAGAAGCAGGCTACCCTCTGAGCAAGGAGCCCAACGTGAGGCTCAATCCCAGGACGCTGGGATCATGACCTGAGCCGAAAGCAGATGCCCAACGACTGAGCCACCCAGGCGCCCCATTCCAACAACTTTTGCTCAACCTGTGCCCACCAATTTTGTGGCTGCTTCTGAGATTCCCCTTAGCAACAGTCTTTATCTACATGAAACAACACAAACATGCACATTAATATGTCAACAGTAACCAAGAGATATTATGGCTTGCAGGCCAAGAGAAGCCCCCTGTGTGTACCGCCACCTGTTCCCACCATGGAAACTTGCACTGGAGAAAGGACTGAACCAGCAGACCTCAACAAATGGGGACTTCAGACTGCGGGCTCCACATAAATTAAGAACTATAAACTGTCCCGAACAGTTCCCATATGGACCTTGGGACATAAGCAAGGGCTGGGGGTTTCCACTAATTAAACAAGAATTGTGGTCTGAAACAAACACGAGGGGCTTCGGTTCTGGGCAGAACTCTTTCACAGCCGAAGCTCACCTGCCCTGAAATCCCCCTGTCCCCAGCTTCTATTCTCAGTTTCTTAGATTTTTCCTATTCTAGGCACTTGATATAAGTGGAATCCCACATTACATACCCTCTATGTCAGGCTTATTTTATTTAGTATGTCTTCAAGGTGCATCCATGTCATAGCATGATTCAGAATTTTATTCCTTTTAATGGCTGAGTAGTATTCCATTATATATTGCATGGAATACTATTCAGCCATTAAAGGAGTAAATTATCACATTTTGTTTATCCATTCATCTGCTGGTGGGCACTTGAATTGTTACCAGCCTTTGGCTCTTGTGGATAATGCTGCTAGGAATATGATGTATGTGTATCTCTCAGAGTCCTAGCTTTCAATTATTTGGGGTCTGTACCAGGAGTGGAATTGCTGGGTCACATGGTAATTCTACATTTAACTTGTAGCTATGTGTTTGTTTGTTTGTTTTTTGTAGCTATGTTAACTCTTTGTTTTTTTTAAATTTATTTTTATATTTTTTTTAAAGTTTTATTTATTTGACAGAGAGAGACACAGCGAGGGGAACACAAGCAGGGGGAGTGGGAGAGGGAGAAGCAGGCTCCCCACTGAGCAGGGAGCCCGATGCAGGACTCGATCCCAGGACCCCTGGATCATGGCCTGAGCCGAAAGCAGATGCTTAATGACTGAGCCACCCAGGCGCCCCTATGTCAACTCTTTGAAGAATGGCTATTTTCCACAGCAGCTGCACCATTTTACATTCCCTCCAGCATGCACAAGGGTTCCAGCTTCTCCACATCATTGCAAACACTTTTTATTTTGTGTAACAGCCACACTAATGGATGTTGGGTGCTTTGGATTTGCATTTCCCCAGTGACTAATGACATTGAACATCTCTTTCATGTGCTTATTGGCCACCTGTTTATCTTTGGAGAAATGTCTATTCAAGTCCTTTGAACATTTTTTAATTGCATTGTTTTGATATTAAGTTGTAGGATTTCTTTATATACTCTATTAATCCCTTATCAGATATATGATTTACTAAAGTTTTTAATGAAGTCCAACTTATCTATTTTGTTGTTGTCTGTGCCTTAGTGGTCCTATCCAAGAAATCATTGCCAAAGTCACTGCCATGAAGTGTCCCCCCGTTTTCTTCTTTTTTTAAATTTTATGTATTTATTTGACAGAGGGAGAGAGAGTGCACAAGCAGGGGAAGGGCAGAGGGAGAAGCAGACTCCCCCCTCCGAGGAGGGAGCCTGACTCGGGGCTCAATCTCAGGACCACAAGATCATGACCTGAGCTGAAGGCAGACGCCCAACTGACTGAGCCACCCAGGTGCCCCTCTACGTTTTCCTCTAAGAGATTTACGGTTTTAGCTATCATTCTTTGCTCCATTTTGAGTTGTGTCTATAGTGTTAGGTAAGGGCCCAACTTCTTTCTTTTGCATGTGGCTATCCAGTTTTCCCAGCATGATTTATTGAAAAGACTGTCCTTTCCCCACTCAATGGTCTTGGCACCATTGTTGAAAATTAACTGTATATGTTAAGAGTTCTCTTTTTTTTCAAAGCCCAACATGGGGCTTGAACTCACAACCCTGAAATGAAGAGTTGCATGCTTTACTGACTGAGCCAGCCAGGCGCCCGAATAAAGGTTCATTTCTGGGCTCTCTATTCTCTTCCATTGGTCTATATGTCTGTTCCTGTGCTAGTACTACATGTTTTGATTACAGTTTTTTTTTTTTTTTAAGGAGACAAATTTATTGAACATCCTGCAAAGGAGCAGCAGGTAGGACAGCAAAGGAGAGACTGCCTACACTAGTGTTTTTGCCTTTTTTTTAGAGAGGTGGGGGGAGGGGCAGAGGGAGAAGGAGAGAGAGAATTTTAAGCAGGCTCCGGCGCCCAGAGTGGAGCCTGACATGGGCTGGATCTCACCATCCTGAGATCATGACCTGAGCCAAAATCAAGAGTCAGATGCTAAACCGACTGAGCCACCCAGGCGCCCTAATGGGTTTTTCTATTCCTGCAGAAAACACCGTGAGATTTTTTTTAAAAAGATTTTATTTCTTTCACAGAGAGAGCGACTATCCCAAGATTTTGATAAAGACTGCATTGAGGGGCGCCTGGGTGGCTCAGTCAGTTAAACGTCTGCCTTCAGCTCAGGTCATGATCCCAGGGTCCTGGGGTTGAGCCCTGCATCAGGCTCCCTGCTCCACAGGAAGCCTGCTTCTCTCCCTCTCCTGCTGTCTCTCCCCCGGCTTGTGCTCTTTTACTCTCTGTCAAATAAATAGTCTTAAAAAAAAAAAAGACTGCATTGAATCTGTATAATTTTGGGTAGCACTGTTACCTTAAATTTTTTTTTTTTTAAGATTTTATTTATTTGAGAGAGAGAATGAGGGAGAGAGCATGAGAGGGGGGAGGGTCAGAGGGAGAAGCAGACTCCCTGCCGAGCAGGGAGCTCGATGTGGGACTCGATCCTGTGACTCCAGGATCATGACCTGAGCCGAAGGCAGTCGCTTAGCCAACTGAGCCACCCAGGCGCCCGCACTGTTACCTTAATATTAAGCCTTCCAATCCATGAAGATGGGATGTCTTTCCATTTATTTAGGTCTTTAATTTCTATCAGCAACGTTCTGTACTTTTCAGTGTGTAAGTCTTACATCTACCAGGTTGTTTATTTTTAATATTTTTATTCTTACTGATACTATTGTAAATGGAATTATTTTTTTTAAAGATTTTATTTATTTGACAGAGAGACACAGCAAGAGAGGGAATACAAACGGGGAGTGGGAGAGGGAGAAGCAGACTCCCCGCTGAGCAGGGAGCCTGATGTGGGGCTCGATCCCAGGACCCTGGGATCATGACCTGAGTTGAAGGCAGATGCTTAGCCAACTGAGCCACCCAGGTGCCCCAGAATTATTTTCTTAAATTTACTTTTTGAATTGTTGTTAGTGTATAGAAATGCAACTGGGGACCCCTGTGTGGCTCAGTCATCTAAGCATCTGCCAGGGTCCTAGGTGTTATATATAAATTTTATATATATATAATACTATACTATAGTATTATTAACTATAGTCATCATGCTGCACATCAATTATTACATCATGGGCTTCTTTATAACTGGAAATATGTACCTTCTGACCACCTTCACTCATTGCACCCAATTCCCACCCCCTGCCTCTGGCAACCACCAATCTGTTCTCTGTATATGAGTTTGGTTTTTTGTTTTTTAGATTCCAGATATAGGTGAGATCATATGGTATTATGTCTTTGTCTGACTTACACTTAGCACAATGCCTTCAAGGTCTAGCTATGTTGTCACAAAATGGCAAAATTTCCCTTTTATGGCTGTGTACACACACACACACACACCCATCCTATCCATCCATCGATGGGACACGTAGGTTGCTTCCAAGTCCTGACTATCCTATCATAAATAATGCTGCAGTGAACGTTGGGGTGAATATGTCTTTTGACCTTGTATTTTCATTTCCTTTGGATAAATACCCAGAAGTGGGATTGCTGGATCATATGGTAGTTCTGTTTTTAATTTTTTGAGGAACGTCCACACTGTTTTCCCTAGGGCTGCACAAGGGTTCCTTTTTCTCCACATCCTCACCAACACTTGTTATTTCTCAGCTCTTTGATTTTAGCCATTCTGACGGGTGATAGCTCATTGTGGTTTTGATTTGCATTTCCTTGATGATAAGTGATGTTGAGCACCCTTTCACATATCCATTAGCCATCTATCTTTGGAAAAATGTCTATTCAGCTCCTCTGACCATTTTTTTTTTTCTTTTTGCTATTGAGTTAAAGTTCTTTATTTTTTTTAAAGATTTTATTTATTTGACAGAGAGAGAGACAGCGAGAGAGAGAGAGCACAAGCAGGGGGAGTGGGAGAGGGAGAAGCAGGCTTCCCGCCGAGCAGGGAGCCCGATGTGGGGCTCGATCTCAAGACCCTGGGATCATGACCTGAGCCGAAGGCAGACCCTCAACCAACTGAGCCACCCAGGCGCCCCGAGTTAAAGTTCTTTATATATATATATAGATAGATAGATGATAGATGATGTATAAATATTTTCTCCATATTTAAATTGTTGAATATTTTTCAAATGCTTCTTCTACATTAATTGATGGGATCATGTTTTTGTCCCTTGATTGTAAGATTTTATTTATTTGTCAGAGTGAGTGAGTGAGCACAAGCAGGGGGAGCAGCAGGCAGAGGGAGAAGCAGGCTCCCCACTGAGCAAGAAGCCCAATGTGGGACTCGATCCCAGGACCCTGGGATCATGACCTGAGCTGAAGGCAGACACTTAACCAATTAAGCCACCCAGGCGCCTCCATTTTCCCTCCATTCTATAAATATGGATTATATTGATAGATTTTCATGTTGAAGCATCCTTGCATTCTAGGAATAAACCCCACTTGGCCATGGTGTATAATCCTTTTAAAAGGCTTCAGCATTTTTCTAGCAGTCACAGAATCAATGACCTAATTGCATTTTGGTGCTCTTCAGGATAACCTGAATTAAAGTCAGAGTTGGAGGATCCTATCCGATGGCAAGGAATTGAAAAGACAAGTTTCCTGGCCCTTCCACAACTCCTAGACAAAACAATCCCCAAACAGTCCTTTTTGGCGGGGGTGGGTGGGGGGGAAAAAGACCAGAGAGAGCCAGGGTACTTTTTCTGAACTGACAGCCACGCTAGAAAGCAACAGATACAGATGCAAACCCAACTATCGAATTCACCACTTCAGTTCAATAGGCCCTCCCAGGTGGCTTTTTCCTTCCTTAAAGCTCGAAATGTATTATGCCTTTACCCTTTCCCCTCCCTGGCCTAAAGAAGGGAGTAATAATTCACTCATGAACTAGACTAAAGCTCAAGTGGCTAACAAAATTCCAGCACTGGCTCCCTTCGTGTAATTCCAGCAAAATTCCATGTACCCCCGCAAAAGAGGGCATCTTCAGCCTCGCAGGCTGAATGGAGGCGGGACTTCTGCCAACTGAAGAGCCAGGAAAGGGAATGTGAAAGCATAGTGCTCCTCTCCTCGAAGTAAAGAGGGAGGCACAGGGTGCGCCATGCCAGCACTCAGGTTATCTTCCAGACATCTGGCATCTCCCAACTGGCCAGGAAACGAAGGGTATGGAGGGCTGGCAGTCAGAGAGGGATGGGCAGAGCAGTCCGGCCAGTGCCTCACCAAGCCATAAGCCAGATCTCCCGAAGCAGGTGTAGTCCACTCAGAATTCTTGGCCAGCACTTGCACAAGGCACTTTATGACCTATGAGCAAGGTAGGCAAGTTTTAAGTGAGGTGGGTCCTCAATTAATGATCATTATGAGGTACTCAGGAATGAGATTACAGCGTTGCATTTTCTTCCAATAGTTTTTAAATTTTATTTTTAGTGTGTTAATTTTAGTGTGCTGGCTTTGCAGATGCCCTCAACAAATTCTTCTTCTTTTTTTAAAGTAATCTATACACACCCAACATGGGGTCTGAACTCACAACATGACCCCAAGATCAAGAGTTGGATGCTCTACCAACTGAGCTAGCCAGGTGCCCCTTTCCAAGTTTTTTTTTTTTAAGATTTTATTTTTTGACAGAGAGATACACAGCGAGAGAGGGAACACAAGCAGGGGGAGTGGGAGAGGGAGAAGCAGGCTTCCCGCTGAGCAGGGAGCCCGATGCGGGGCTCGATCCCAGGACCCTGGGATCATGACCGGAGCCGAAGGCAGACGCTTAACGACTGAGCCACCCAGGCGCCCCCCTTTCCAAGTTTTTAAGAGCAGCTAGAAAACTGGATATTGTGTGGTATCTTCCAGTTTAAAAATATTGGTTGGATGTGTGTAGGGAAAGTGGGGTCAAAAATTAATGGGCAGGACTGCAACTTAGTGTGTGTGGGGGCGTACAGCTAGAACACACATCTGAGATCTTTTTTTTTAAGCCTAAATCCTCTTCTGTCTCTTAGGAACCAGCAATGGGCCGTACATGTAATTTTAACTCAAAAAATACTTACGGTAGTATTTTTCACCACTTCAACTCTGGCTGCACATTAGAATCACCTGGAAAGGGCACCTGGGTGGCTCCGTTGGCTAAGCGTCTGCCTTTGGCTCAGGTCATGAACCCAGGGTCCTGGGATAGAGCCCCACACATCGGGCTCCCTGCTCAGCCGTGAGTCTGCTTCTCCCTCACCCGCTGCCCCTCCCCCCAGCTTGTGCTGTCTTTCTCAAATAAATAAGATCTTTGAAAAAAGAAAAAAAAGTCACCTGGAGAGGTTTTAAAAAACTACCTTGGGGTACCTGGGTGGCTCAGTTGGTTAAGTGTCTGCCTTTGGCTCAGGTCATGATCCCAGGGTCCTGGGATTGAGTCCCCACATTGGGCTCTCTGCTCAGCAGGGAGTCTGCTTCTCCCTCTCCCTCTGTGCTTGCTCTCTCTCATAAATAAATAAATCTTTATTAAAAAAAAAAAAAAAGGCTATCTTGGGGGCACCTGCCTGGCTCAGTAGGTGGAGCACATGACTCGATCTCCAGGTTGTGAGTTTGAGCCCCACGATGGGTGTAGAGATTACATGAAATCTGGAAAAAAAAAGAAAAAAAAAAAAAAAAGGTTACCTGGGATACCCCAGCACTGTCAAGTTTAATAAATCGGGTGGGATCCAGGCCTCCAGCTGACTTTTTTTTTTAAGATTTTATTTGACACAGAGAGACATAGCGAGAGAGGGAACACAAGCAGAGGGAGAGGGAGAAGCAGGCTTCCCGACAAGCAGGGAGCCCGATGTGGGGCTCGATCCCAGGACCCTGGGATCATGACCTGAGCTGAAGGCAGACGCTTAACGACTGAGCCAAAGCAAAAGAGAGAGCACACACAAGTGAGGGGAATGACAGAGGGAGAGAATCTTGAAGCAGACTTCTTGCTGAGCGCAGAGCCCGATGCAGGGCTCAGTCTCAGGACCCTGAGATCATGACCTGAGCCGAAGGCAGACGCTTAACCGACTGAGCCATCTAGGTGCCCCTCAATAAAATCTTTAAAAAAAAAAGATCCAGGGGCACCTGGGTGGCTCAGTCGGTTAAGCGACTGCCTTCGGCTCAGGTCATGATCCTGGAGTCCCTGGATCGAGTCCCACATCGGGCTCCCTGCTCGGCAGGGAGTCTGCTTCTCCCTCTCCCACTCCCCGTTTGTGTTCCCTCTCTCGCTGTGTCTTTCTCTGTCAAATAAATAAATAAAATATTAAAAAAAAAAAAAAGATCCAGTTTGAGGAAAGTACACGGTCAACTTACAATTAGGATGAGACAGGGTGCCGGGGTGGCTCAGTCGGTTAAGAAACTGCCTTCGGCTCAGGTCATGATCCCAGAATCCTGGGATCGAGTCCCACATCAGGTTCCCTGTTCTGCGGGGAGCCTGCTTCTCCCTCTCCCACTCCCCCTGCTTGTGTTCCCTCTCTCGCTGTGTCTCTGTCAAATAAATAAAATCTTAAAAAAAAAACCAAAACAATTAGGATGAGACATGGTCAGAATGAGTTTCAAGGTCCTTTCAAAGCAAGGAAGGGTCAAAGTCAATGTGAGGTACAGGAAGGTTGTCAAGGTCACAATGAAGGTTAAGAGGTTCAATATCAAGGTCATGTTTATGTGCAAGGTCAGGCTGGGGGCAAAAATCACAGGTCTTTGGAGAGTGTCTGGCTTAGCATCAGGGCTTGGGGTCAGGATTAGTGAAACAAGATGAATAAAACTCATCAATATACATTCACCTCAACAGCCAGCTCTGAGAGTTTGAGCCAATTAAGAGGAGTCTAATTAATGTAAGCATGCTCAGTCTCAATTATTTGATTTACAAAACTCCTAACTGCATGTTAGCATAAACCAAGATGGACAAGAAGTGTGCTCCATATGTTCATCTCTCTGGCACATTATTTCTCTGAGGTAGAGTGAATTAGCATGAATCTAATTAGTGCTATTGAAAAGCATCATTATTTAGTTCAAACAAGCTCAGTCTCAGACATTCTTCCTAAAGGCAAAACCTTATTGCTGGCTAGTATTAACTAACATGAACATAAGCAATTCAACATATACATTCATCTCAAAGGCATATTCTTAAGAAGTGGGAGGAATTAAGATCGATCTGATTAGGAGTTTGGATAAGAATTCCTGTTAGTGTAAGGCACTGGGGTGACTCAGGTCATGATCTCCAGGTCTTGGGATCGAGCCCTTCATCAGGCTTCCTGCTCTGTGGGGAGCCTGCTTCTCCCTCTCCCTCTGCCTGCCGCTCCCCGCTGCTTGTGCGCTCACATGCTCTGTCAAATAAATAAAAAATAAAATCAGGGGCACCTGCCTGGGTGGCTCAGTCGGTTAAGCGTTTGCCTTCAGCTCAGGTCATGATCCCAGGGTCCTGGGATAAAGCTCCACGTCCGGCTCTCAGCTCAGCAGGGAGTCTGCTTCTTCCTCTCCCTCTGCTTGTGTTCTGTCTCTCTCTCAAATGAATAAATAAAATCTTTTAAAAAAAAGAAAAAATAGAAGAATTCCTATTAATGCAACAAACAGCCCCAGACTCCTTATAGATTGTTGGAGTAAACTGCAAGTAAGCACTGCAATACACATTCATACTGTGAGACAGTGAATTTGGATCAAACTAAGGCATACTATTTATTTATTTATTTAAAAGATTTTATTTATTTGTCAGAGAGAGAGCACAAGCAGGGGGAGCGGCAGGCAGAGGGAGAAACAGACTCCCCAGTGAGCAGGGAGCCCGATGTGAGGCTCAATCCCAGGACCCCGGGATCATGACCTGAGCCAAAGGCAGCTGCTTAACTGACTGAGCCACCCAGGTGTCCCTAAGGCATACTATTAAAACAAATTTATATTAGTGCAACAAATTCATTTCCATTCTTCTCAAAATTCTTGTTTGAGCAAACTGAGATGAATGGAAACACAGCAACACATGTTCATCTCAATTCACCTTTTTAAGATTTATTTATTTGGAAGAGAGCAAGAGTAAGAGCGTACAAGCAGTTGGGGGGGGGAGCAGCAGAGGGAGAGGGAGAAGCAGGCCTCTTGCTGAGCAGGGAGCAGGAAGTGGGGCTCAATCCCAGGAACCAGAGATCATGACCCGAGCCAAAACCAAGAGTTGGACACTCAACTGACTGAACCAGCCAGGTGCCTTTCAGCCATTACCTCTTACTATAAGTGGTCATCTCAAAATGAAAGAAGTCAACGTCAGGATGGTTATCAGTTTTAGACTGATGGTTGTGATCAGAGGTCAAGGTCCATTTCCATGTCACATTTAAGGTTAGGACCAGCGAGTATGATCGAGGAATAGGAGCCTGGTTTGTAGAAGTGAGCATCACACAGATCCATAAACCAGAGAAGATCTAGGCCATGAGGCACTAGCCATGGTGGAGTTGTAATTGTGAGCTTCTATTTTTTTTTTTTTCTTAAAAGGTTTATTTATTTGAGAAAGAGAGCGGAGGAAGGGGCAGAGGGAGAGAATATCCAAGCTGACTCCTGCCGAGCGTACAGCCTGATGCGGGGCTCGATCTCACGACCCATGAGATCGTGACCTGAACCAAAACCAAGAGTTGGACATTTAACCGACTGAGCCACCCAGGTGCCCCAGTTGTGAGCTTCTGAAAATACTATTTGTAACAAACAAACTGAGCCAAGAGTAGGCACGGGGAAAGGAACCAACTGAGGAACCTGAGAAGTGGAAATGTAGAAAAGTGTGGTGAAAGAGAATCCAAGAGCTTAGTCAATGGGGGCATTTCTAGAAGCAAAACCTACACCAACCCTGATTGAAACACTACTTATAAATTTGGTTCTAGGTGGCATATATTCAATTCCAGCTGGTGACCTATAATATTAGAATACAGGGCCCCCTGCTGCCACATCTTCCTCTCCTGTGAAAAATCAGAAATCCAGAAATATGATACCTAAGTATTAGCAACTACGCCAACTACAAAACAGAAAAGAGCACAAAGGCTAATTACGCTCATACCCGACAGGCTGTGCACGGTCCACAGGCACAGTCTGTAGTTGCTCCTCCACAGGGACAATGTTTTCTCTATTCAGAGTCCCCACACCCCATCACTGTGATTAAAAACACCAAAACCAAAAACTAGGGACAGGCACTATAGGGCCAGACGTGACAAGGCCTTTCTGCCTCAAAGGCACCACATGTGCCCAGTTATGAAGGGCTCTTTGGCTTGATAAAGCATCGGCTATGATTAGCTAACATGGTCTCTACTGAGCCAAGGGTCTAGAAGAAGGAAAAAAGACAGGGCAAAGGCAGATGATCTTTGTTCTTGTTACATTTTATTGGCATCACGTTCATCTCTTTACAGAAGAACTTGGCCCACACCCTAGAATGTAGACCTTTGGAAAAAGAGGAAGTGCTCCGTTAAGCAAGCTACAATGCAGGGGCAGATCCTAGGGAGGGGGCAGAACTGCCAGGGTTCCATACCAAAGAAACAGGTTAATGAATAGTGGGCAATACTGGGAGTTGGTGGGGAAAAGGAGAAAAAGGTTTGCTAACCTAAGGATACCACAACCCTGAAAGGAGTGCCTTCTAGAACAAAGGTAAAATCACTAGGACAGATCTGTTAGGATTTTCCTTTTCCTCTTAATCAGTAGGATGCTGACCTAATAGGGGAGTTTTGAAGTGTGGAGCAGAAGGGGGGGGGTAAGGGGGGGAGGAAAAATGAGAATTTTAATTTCTGAAACAACAGCCATTTATCCATTGCACACACCACTGTATTATGCAAATCAACCTTTTGGAAAATGTAGACACAGAAGGGAACTAGACAGTGTTCCCCCTGGAGAGATGAAAAGCTTTTTGGCTCGTAAGTCTTTGATAAAAGGCGTACATAATTCTTGTGTCTCCTGTACAGAATACTGCCTCTAGCTGGACTTCTGCATTCTGAGTTGCTAACACTCTGCAATCCAGACAGGGTTCAACCCTCCATCTTACACGCCTGCATTACAGGACTTAAACACATAATCCAAGAATTTCTTACACTAATTTATACATTTTTAATTGGTTGCATATATTAACATGTACTATAAGATTCTTTTCTAAGAAGCATTACATAATAAATGGATACTGTAAAAAGATCTGATTAGTTAAAAGTAACAAGCATTAACAGATACATACAAAACTCAGCCTGATCAGACTGGGTGTGAGCCTGTAATGAAGCATGGGGCACCAGCCTTCCCAAGTGGTAGCCTTCACAGGAGGGAGGGGCGGGGGTAGGGGGTAAAAAGACCACAAGACCGTTAAAAAAATCAGATAACTAATTAGACACAGATTAACTGTAAACAGTTCTCTCTCCCCAGTGACAAAAAGAATAAGCTTCCGATGCTGACTCCACACCAGAACGATTTCTACAGCTTGCCTGTTGTGCTGCCGTACAAGGGCTGATGTGGTGGGTGGGCAGACCCCGAGGGAGTCATCACAGGCCTGGGCTGGAGTCTGTCTGCTTGTATCAGGGCTGTGTGTGTGTGTGTGTGTGTAAGGGTGAGTGTGTTTGATGGGGTTTCTTTTGGCAGCTGGATTCGATAGATGACTTTATGTTTTGTTTGGAAGAGGAGAGGGGGCTTGTGTCGGAAGGCCTAAGTGTGTTCTTTGTTTGTGAAGGACTCTGTGCTCTGCTCTCACTGCCCCTTCAGCAACTGCAGCTTTCCCCTGAGGGCTTGGCCCGGTCGTTCTTGTCCAGTTTGATGGGTTCGGGGAATTCATTGTACAGCTCCACCTCTGTTTCCTGGGCAGGGAGAGAGAGAAAGGTCTGTTACTCAGGGTATGGGGAACTTCCGAGCTCAGCGGTGCTCTTCCATAGCTCTCGGTGGGCAGGGGGCTGGGGGACAGACGCGGCAGTGAAGGGAGGGCTCTGGCAGAAGGTGCTCAACTCTCAAGGGCTGAGCAAGGGGACGACAGGTTTTGTGACAACCCTGGGAAAATGTGAAGAGAGAAACCGAGCAGGAAGAGCTGCAATCGATACTGAGCAGTCAGGACACAGCTGACTCATGCTCTCCATCATCATGATGGAGATCTGGTGGCTTGGGGACCACAGCCAGCTCACAAATGCTTTCTGCGTGCTCCTTATCATCTCATCACCAACACTTTGAAAATCAGACTTCAACATGGGCTGGATTTTGGCAGCTCTTAGCACTTCCACAAGGCAAGTATGGGCTGGAGCATGAGTGCTCCCTGCCCTCTCAGTCCCAAAACATTCCTCTAGTTCCCTATTTGCCATTTATTTTTCTGGACTGATGGCCCGTTTTCTTTTTTTCCCAAAGGTTTAGGAGGGTTTTGCCTCTAAATGCTGCATACTTAGAAACCAGCTATGGATGAATTTTATCACCAACTGTGGTGAGAGGTCATAGGAGATGGACCGTGGTCAGTTTAGTGTGACTTTTTGCTGAAATAACATGTGTCTAGTGAGGAGCAGCTTTCCACTTCCTGGTGCAGGAAAACAGTTTGTTACTTCAACACTGAGCACCTATGTGACAGGCAGTGTTCTATAAAAATAAAAACCTCTAAGAATACACATTAAAAAAACAAAAAGGTTTACTGAGATAAATTCAGTGGTTTTTAGTGTATTCACAAATTGGGCAACCATCACCACTAATTCCACAAATTTTCTTCACCCCATAGAAACCCTGCACCCATTAGCAGTCATTCCCCAGCCCCACCAGACACCCCCAAGCCTTGGCAATCACTGACATCTACTTTCTGTCTTTACAGATTTGCCTATTTTGGATATTTCATTTGATGGGACATTTGTTTTTATTTCTGCTTTTTGGCTATTATGAGTAATGCTATTATGAATATTCATGTACAAGACTTTGTGTGGACAGGTTTTTGTTTCTCCTGGGTAACACCTAGGAGTGGAATTGCTGGGTCATATAGTGACGCTTCATGTTTAACTTTTTGAGGAACTGCCAGACCGCTTTCCAAAGTGGGTGCACCATTTTACATTCCCACCAGCACCTAGGAGTATATTTAATACGAAAGGCAAAGGATGTGAAAAGTGATACAGTGTCACTGAAGGAGAGCACACAAAACCTAAAATAATAGCTGTTACGGACTGAATGTCTGTGTCTCTCCAAAATTTCTATGTTAAAATCCTAATCCCCAGTGTGCTAGTATTAGGATTAAGAAAGTAATGAAGGTGAAATGAGGTCATAAAGGATGGGGCCCTGATCTGACAGGATCAGTGTGTCCTTGTAAGAAAAGACATCAGAGAGTGGGGGTTCCCACTTGCTCGCGCTTGCTGTTGAGTACAGAGGAAAAGCCACGCACCCGAGGACAGGAGAAAGACGGCGGTCTGCAAATGGGGAAGGGAGCCCTTAGCAGAAAGTGAATTTGCTGGCACCTTGATTATAAACCTCTGGCCTCCACAACTGAGAGACGATAAAAGCCTGCTATTTTGCCACCCAGTCTGCAATATTTTGTAATGGTACCCAAAGCACACTACTAAGAGCTCTGATGCGCAATCCCAATTAGAATCTCAATAAGGTTTTGTATTTCGGAAGGGTGAGGAAGGAAAAAGGTGGAACTGGAATAAAATTCTCAGTCTAAATGGAAAATGCACCAAAATAGCAAAAAACAAAACAAAACAAAAAAACCCAAAACCAAAACCAAACAAACCCCCAAACCAACAAAAAAACCCCCACAAAAAAGTCTTTTTGTCAGTCACTAGTCACTTGTCAGCAGAGGTCAGACTACAATATAAAGGCAGTCAAATCAAGATGGTCCAGGCAAGGAACATGCACGCTGCCAAACAGACTGGGAAGACCCAATTTTGGAAGACCAAAAATAGATCCCAATATACATGAGCATTAAATACACAAAGGTAATGCTTCAGTCCACTGGGGAAAGTGGTTTATTTAACAATTTGCTGCTAATAATTGAAACAACTGGCTATCCCGCTAAAAGAAAAAAGGTGAGTCCCTATTTCCTGCCATAAGCCAAAATAAATTTCAATTGAATTAGACAACAAATCATCCAGACACAGGAAACCCAGACACTTAAAATGACACACCTAACAAAAATTACTTTTTTCGATGCCCCAGAAAGACAGCAGAGTTGGAAAAGTCACTTGCCATACCGGTCAAGTTAATTCCGGTTCACAGAAGGCTCACGGGAAGCGGCGGGCGCCCAGGCCAGTGCCACGGGCTGGCGGTGTGCAGCAGGGGGGCCCGACGACTGGCTGCACGGCAGCAGGGCCCCACACGGTGCCGGCCATTTGCTGCTGAGCAGGAAGAGAAGGACTGAAGTATGAGTGCCTTTGAGGAAAGTGATCTGGCACCATCTTTTGAAAGCGCACATACCTTTCAATCTAACAATCTTACTCCTGAGAGGCTAGGCGTGTAGGAACAAAAAAACATTCTAATAAGGCTACAGGGACAGCAATATTCACAGAGAAAAACTGTTGGTGATGCCAGTCAGCAGGGAGCTGGTGGAAACAATTCCCCAGACCTGTTTAGATTTGCATGCAAGTGTAGGAACACGAGGAAAAGCATATTCAGTTACTGACATAGGTGTGAAGGTGGGTTAAACGAAGGGGGAGCGGGGGAGGCAAAGGCCTTGGGCCTGCATCCTGTTTGTATCAGTGTTGCTCAGTGGGGGCTCTCCTAGTGTTTTGGGTGGATCGATTTCTTTCATCACGGAACACTCAGTGCAGCCTCCAGCCCTTGGAACAACCCATTCCAGGTACTTCCCTGCCCACAGGTCCAGATGCCCTGTCCTGCTGAGAACTGGTACCTTCTATAAACCCAGTTTCCTGGAGCTGGCAGAACCTGCCTTGCCCTTTACAGCCACCACGTGCTTCCTTAAAATGTTCTCCGCATTTTCTGGTTTGCACCTCACCTGACACTCACCCGCTCCCCAAGTCTGACCATCACAGATGACTGATGGTGCCTCACAATCTGTCCTAACTCACTGGCCCCCAAAGAGCTGCTGAATCAAAAGAACCTTCAACTCCCTCATGTCAACAAGAAGTAACGGTCTCTTTTTCTGGGAACAGTTGAGTAAACAACATAAATCAGAAAGAACACCTCACTCAAGGAATACAATTCCCAGAACTTCTGGTTAAGCTTCCCTTCTGGTGATCTGGTGATCCAATATAACCAGTTACGAGAACGCCAAGAGCGAACCCATCTCATTCCATCTTCACAACCACCCTCCAAATCAAGTATTATTTGACAGAGGAGGGTATGGAAGCTCAGAAATGATTTAAAAACAAACAAACAAATGATGGGTAGCAGACCTGGGATTTGAATTCAAGTTTATCCCCTCCTTCAGTAGGAGCCATCTGACTAAGGGCCTCCTAGTGGTCTCATCTCCTAACAGCATGCAGAGAGAGTAAGAACATACCCAAATAAGGGTGGCCTCAGCCTGTCTTCATTGCCCTTGCATTGTATAGGTTATTCACAAACAAGTGAAATTTCTGGAAGCTTTAGCAGAATGCCTCATTGCCTTCCCAGACAAACACACGGGTTCTTCTGGCTACATAGAAAAAAGAGCTAAGAAAGATTAAGGACAAGAAAGCCAGGCAGGGGCTGGGTCGATGGTCAGTCACCAGAGGGAGCCAGACAGCTGCAAGAGACCCACCTGTTTAAGTGCATTCCGCGCAATTGTCTGGAACGCCTGCTCCACATTGATGGCCTCCTTGGCACTGGTCTCGAAGTAGGGAATGTTGTTTTTGCTGTAGCACCAGGCCTGTGCCCGCTTTGTGGCCACCTGGAAAAGGAAGAAGGGTGTACGTGGGCTCCCAATAGAGGCAGCCAGCACGGGTGAGGGAGCAGACCGGGGATGAGGGTGTGCAGGGGTTCGAGGAAGGGAGCTGCAGGCCTGGCCAAGGTCATGCTGCTGGCTCTGTATAATGCTGCTAGGCCTCAAACCCAAGCCCATTCTACAGTCCATAGGTTCCAACCCTTAGCTACACTTACAGGCAGACGATGAAAGAGTAAGCAGCTAGTCCGGGAAATACTGAATTGTTTCTCTTGGGACCTCAGAGGTCCCAGCCCAGGAAATGCCTGGCCGCTTGGTCTCAAGCTTTGCAGTCCCATCCCCATTACTGCTAGTGTTACATCACCTGTACCACCGAATTCTGCAGCTCTCACTGACACCCCTGCCTCTCCTACCCTAATTCCTTTCCCACCCCTAGCCCACTTCCAGGCATGAGAGGACTGTCACCTAAGGGAGAAAAAGAGATCAATGGCCAGAAATAAACCAAGCTATAATTAAGAGTCTATGCTCCCAAGAGAAATGCTATTTCAAAGTAAACCAGAGCAATTTTACTCAAAAGCCCAAAGCACACATGGAGATCCAGGCAGGCCCCTGAGGTGCAGGAGCACTCGAGAATGACAAAATCTAATTATCTCCTTTCGAGTACAGAAGGAGAACTGAGGCTCAGAGGGCAAAGACAATGGCCCAAAGTGAGAGCCGGCTGGAGACAGCATGGGGATTTAAACCAGGTCTCGTGGGCCCTGGTCCTCAAAGGGTGCTGACCGGAAGGTAGTTCACATTCCCACAGGTACCTTTCTGGAGCCATTCTGGGCTTTGCATAGAACCCACCAAACCACAAGTCACCTTAGAAGCCAGTGTCTCTCATAGGGGAGGAAAACAGTAACGGGCCAACTAGAAAGCCACCATTTCCCAAGCTCCTCCTGGGTGCCAGGGCTTCTGGGTACACTGTCATCTGATCCCAGAGTATTCTTGTTATGTAAGTCAAGATTCAGACTCCCAAGAAATATTCCCAAATTAAAAGTGCATGAGCCAGGCTTTAAATGCAAGTCTGCCTTTAAATCCAAAAGACCAAAATGCAGACTGCAACTGGCCTCAAGTCAAATTATTTCATAGGGACCAAAATGATGGCCAGTACAGGCAACTCCACAAAGTGGACTTGCTCTTCTCTTGGCATAATTTCAAAGGGAATAGCACTGCAGACTTTCAATGCCCCTGTTCTGCCACAGGGGAAGCAAAAACGGTATGCCTTTACTAGACTAGGAAGCAAGGCCCGATTCCAAGGACTGGGCAGGTAACTAGTTAGTTATGCCTCCCTTCTACCCCACTATGGGGGCACACATACACAGAGATATGCTGGGGACTGGTCCTTAAGGCACATGACTTTTTACCAATCAAAACCAAAAACAGGGGCGCCTGGGTGGCTTAGTCGTTAAGCGCCTGCCTTCAGCTCAGGTCATGATCCCAGGGTCCTGGGATCGAGCCCCACATCGGGCTCCCTGCTTGGCGGAGAGCCTGCTTCTCCCTCTCCCACTACCCCCGCTTGTGTTCCCTCTCTCTGTCAAATAAATAAAATCTTAAAACAAAACAAAACAAACCACCCACTAAAACCAGTACCTGTCATCTGAAACTAAGCTGCCACTTTCAGAAGGCCCAGGAGCCACGACCTAAATGAGGGTAGATTCATAAGCCTCCACATTTAGGATTCCCACTATCTTTAGCACTTACTTGTCTGTTTTCGAGGTCAATCTTGTTTCCCAACACAACGAAGGGGAAGTTTTCAGGATCCCGGGGACTGGCCTGGATGAGAAACTCATCTCTCCAGCTATCGAGGGTTTTGAATGTGTTGGGGGCAGTAACGTCAAATACCAGAACGCAGCAGTCTGCGCCTCTGTAGAAGGCCACACCAAGTGACTGGAACCGTTCCTGGCCTGCTGTGTCCCAGATCTGCGAGAGAGAAAACATTATTCCTTGGGGGGCACAGCACTAGGAGTGGGGGATGCCAGAGGAAACGAGCTGCATTATGGAGCCACCGAGAGACAAGCGACTTCAGATTTCAGAATTCAGGAAGCGAGTGCAGCACCAGAGTATCCCACACAGCCCTGACAGAGAGTATATGTGATTGCATGTTCTGCAGAGGGCAGACAACGAGTCTGAACTCTGCTAGAAAATGTTTTCATCTTGATCTGGGCGGTGGTTCCATGAATAGATATTTATGTAAAATTCATGATATAAACTTAACATTTATGTACCCTGGGAACTTTCTGGGGGTGATGGAAATACAGGGACGTAATTACACACTGAATTGTACATTTAAATCTACATATTGTACTGTATATAAAGTTTACCTAAAAAAATCAGAATGTTTTATTTATATTATGACTCAATTAAAAAAAAAAAAAAGGCAAACAAAAACCCCTGAGAGAGATGAAGGGAAAGACAGCAAGGACATACTTTAGAATAGAGGGGAAAGCCAGCTTTTAATCAAAAGAACACCAGGTACTACTGACTAGCTCAAAGAACTTCATATCGTTCATTGCCATGCTAGGTTCGAGAGCAAGGATGGATTTCCTTACTGCCCTAGATCCCTAACAAGGCCACCCTGGTCGGCCTGAGAGATGGTGAGTGTTCTGAGGAATGGTTCCACAACCCCCAGCAAGTCATCTGGTTTAAGAAAGTGGGGGTCAGAAGCAGCATACCATTACTTCTAGCTGACATGGGTCTTTAACTGTTGGATTCACTGGTTTGCAGGGAACCCACTTAACTTCAGAACAACATAAGAACTTGGACCATCCTTTATAACCCAAATAAATGGCAATTTTATGTCCAAATCACCAGCCAACTACCCCAAAGGCCCAGGGTTTGAACCAAAATGGGAGTGTGGCTTGGGCCACTAGTTTTATCTCCAGAACCAAATTCTGCAGAAGGATGGTTGAGCTCCTTTGTGAAGGCTTTCTCAGGCGGTCAGTCCTGCCTCCCTCCAAGTGATGCAGAACACTTGGGGAACCCGTCAAGTATCCCTAGGCCATACAAAGATTGAGCTCCCAGTTCAGGTAGGAAGAGCACCCTATAAGATGAGGTTATGATGCTTGATTAGAATAAGTAAATAGGCACAAGAGAAATAACAGGACAGGGCAGTAATCTGGGATTCACATTTCTTTAATACTACCAACGTAATCAAAGCTCATGATGTTCTACTAAATCCCCTAACACCTCCCAAAATATTCTCTGAAAGGAGTCCTAAAACCTGTGCAAATCCAGACAGTTGATTTACTCTTGGGGACCGGCTCAAATGACAGTGTAGCAAACAGGAGTGGAGCCAGAACTTAGATACTGACTGGAGGGCTGGATACAGCAGCATTAGAACCCCCTAGAGAAGGTCCAGTAAAGCAATATGACTACACAACTCTAAACTCTGGCCCACAGACTGGCCAAGAATAGCTCAGGCCAACAGCATGCTGGAAGGGGGCTACTGTGGTTACCAATGTCAGGGCTGAGCAAAAGTGCACATTTCAGCTTTCTGTCAATGAACAGTCCCCAAGAGCCCAAGTGTTACTCCTATGAGGAGGACAGGTCTGAGAAACCCGCCTCAGCCTTTTCTTCCAATGCGCATGACCCTCCATAACCAGTACATGAAAACATGGCTGACAGGACTCTTGGCCACAACTGTGAGAGCAAGGAGCCTGACCGTGGCAGCCCACTCCATCCCCAGGAAACCCCAACCACTACATAAACTATCTATATGCACTTCACTCTGGGAAGAATCTTTCTAAAATAGGACATGCCCTAGCAGCCATGGGCTGAGCTCAGCCTGACTGTAGAGTAGAGGTAGGAGGCTGTCATGAATGTATGTGTGTGGCATAGGCGTGCTCAGGCCACTGGTAAAAGCAGCAGCCACTCAAATAGAACCAGAAGGAAGTGACGATGACTTTGATATAAGGGTGAAGACAAACTCAAAGGCAATTATTTTCCCCGCCTCTCATCAGGATGGGGAACTAAATGCAACCCCCACTACAACAAACAAAGCACACATATGCAGACAAAATTCGATCTCCGGTGCCAGTGGATACCCAGTAGAGGGACTGCGGGTGATGTCTGCTTTTGTGCTTTTCTGGTTTCCCAATGTCCTACAGTGAGTATGTGTCTCTGAGTGAAAAAATGAACCCTTTCTCGTAACAGGGAGACTGACCGATGGAGGGGGACCCAAGAGCCTGGTCATACAATAAGGAAAGTAGAAACAGACAACTATTTCTATAAAGAGAAAGTAAGAAAAAAACAGAACTTAAATCTAGGCTTGGACAAATTAAAAAAAAAAATTTTTTTTTTCCATTAGAGAAGTAACACTGTTACTACGTAAACATTTGGGTAAGTAAAGCCAAAGCTAAAAAACCCCCTGAAACACTTGGCACCCTCCCACACAGAGAGCATCTTCATTAGCTCATTTCTTATTCTAGGTATCCAGGCTGTGGGGTTTTACGTAGCTGAAATCTCACACCACACATCACGCCGTGCCCTCCCCATCACTCCTCTCTGCCTAAGTGACACATCACAGTACTCTCTGACAGGAGCTCCCACCTTTACTGCTGCCCAACAAACTCAGCGAACAATTTCACTCTTGTTTTTTAAAAACATATTACTGTCAAATTTCCACAATTTTAAGGACCTCAGGAATGAATGTTAACTTACAGAGCCTCTTCCATATTTCCGATTGCTTGTTTAGGACAGAATCCCAAGAGGAGAACTCCATGACTCTTTTTTTTTTTTTTTTAAAGATTTTATTTATTTGACAGACAGAGACACAGCGTGAGAGGGAACACAAGCAGTGGGAGTGGGAGAGGGAAAAGGAGGCTTCCTGCTGAGCAGGGAGCCCGATGTGGGGCCCGATCCCAGCACCCTGGGATCATGACCTGAGCCGAAGGCATACGCTTAACGGCTGAGCCACCCAGGCGCCCCTAAACTCTATGACTCTTGTTGGAACCAAACGGGTACTTGGAACTCAGATAACAGAGAAGGCAAAGTAAGGCATTAAGAAGTGAAGTTGAAAAACTGCGCAGTTATTCTTTGCAACTTTAAAAAATTAATTTATCTTCACACCTAGAAACGTAAAGTTCTATGAGTGTGATCTCTTAAAATTTTTAATATTTTATAGCACACCCATATTATCTATTTACCCATACTCTAATGTGACAAATATTAACACTGCCACAGTAATGTCAGTTTTTGTTTTGTTTTTTTAAAGAAACAGAGTTAACCCTTCCTCACAGCATTCCCTTTTCTTCCTCCCCAGACGTAAATGGGTCCTGAAGAGTTAACAGTCTACAATGTAATAGTATGATCCTGTACATCTTTTTGCAACTTGCTTTTTTTCCTTTTCCAAAGGTTAACGGCTATATAGCATTCCACTACCTTAATATACACACTCTATTCCCTGGTCATCTCAGCAGCAAGGAGCATTCTTCCTACACTTCTCTTCCTATGCCCAGAGCTAAGTTTCTCTAGGCTCTCGTCCTAGGCAGAGAATTGTGCATGCTCAACAATGAAGAGCAAAATGGTAGTCTCTACTGAAAAGGGCTGCATTGATACACTCCCACCATCAACTTGACAATATTCTACTCCCTGTATTCCAGCCAAAGCTTGATTTTGTGAGCCTTTTTTCCCCCATGTATGTACATTTATAGCAACATGCTTTATTAACTTTAAAGTAAAATGTAGGGCGCCTGGTGGCTCAGTTGGTTAAATGTCTGCCTTCAGCTCAGGTCATGACTCCGGGATCCTGGGATTGAGCCCAGAGCCAGGCTCCCTGCTCAGTGGGAAGTCTGCTTCTCCCTCTCCTCCTCTCTGCCACCCCACCTCAGCTTGTGTTCTCTCTCTCAAATAAAATCTTAAAAAAAAGAACATCTGTGTTATACATTTAAATCACTTTGAAGAACTCTATCTACATCAAGACATATCTATATAAAATGAGGAATATATTAGAATTAAAAGGTTATCTGGGTTTGCATTTTTCTTAAAATGTACATAAATTCTCACTTCCAACTCTAATTTCAGAATGTCATGTCTGAATATTTACTTTCTACATGAGGGACTCTGCTTTTAAAATGTTGCGGTATGACCACCTTTTAGTTCTATTGATGATAAATATATCTAAATAATTTCAAACGAGGGGCGGCTGGGTGGCTCAGTCGTTAAGCATCTGCCTTCGGCTCAGGTCATGGTCGCAGGGTCCTGGGATCGAGCCCCACATCGGGCTCCCTGCTCCATGGGAAGTCTGCTCCTCCCTCTCCCACTCCCCTTGCTTGTGTTCCTGCTCTCTCTCTCTCTGTCAAATAAATAAATAAAATCTTAAAAAAAAAAAAATTTCAAATGATACTTTATATTGAAATAGGACACTTTTCCCCCCATATCCACTATTTACTTACTTTATAACCAGAAGTTTGTTCCTCCTAATCCCCTTCACCTATTTCTCCCATTTCCCACCCCCACCCCTCTGGCCACCACCAGTTTGTTCTCTGTACTGAGTTTTTGTGTTGTTGTTTATTGTTTTTTTAGATTCCACATATAAGAGAAACCATATGGTATTTGTCTCTGTCTGAATGATTTCACTGGGCATAATACTCTCTAGGCCCATCCATGTTGTTGCAAACAGCAAGATCTCACTCTTTTTATGGTGAGTATCACATCTTCTTTATCCATTCACCTATAGATGCTTCCATTTGAAATAAGACACTTACTGAATATTATTATTTTACTTCAAGTCTAATTTTAGTTCTAGAGAAGGTGGTCCTATCTCAAAGGCTTGGACAAGGTTTTCTTTTTCTCTTAGTCCAGGAAGATCACTTTATAGCAAACACTTGAGGTTTCTTAAGTGATGCAGAGCAACGATGCCTCTGTCTGTGATATATCCACATGAAATTATTTCCAACATGCTTTTATGTAAATTTTTAACTTTACAAAGTCTCTCCGAACAGTCAGGCTCAATATATGACACTTGCATGACCTTGTTTTTCCAGCATGCTGTTAGCCCTCCATGTGATCAAATCCAATGCTCATGATTTAAGAGCAGTGGCATCAACTGCCTGAATTCTGTTTGTCTAGAGGGCCTGATGAGAGGTTATGTCCTTCTGCCAACTCTCCTGGCCCTGGTAGCACACCACAGCCCCACAGCAAAGCCACTTGGATGCCACCAGTCAGGGTTGACATCCACTTTATTCAACCAGCCCCAGAAGTATCTGGAGTCACATGACCATGGGGGTTTCTTTAAGCCACCCAACTGCTGGGAAATTTTTCCAAAAGAGCATCTTTTGATAGCACTGGGGGGGGGAGGGAGTGATCCCTGTGACTATAGCAGTGTCACCCTGCCCCGTCACCTTTTTAAATTTGTAATTCCCTGAAATCAAGCCACTGGACATTAAAGGTTTCTTCTGATAGTTGCCTGTTGATGTCTGTTGTCCAGTTATCCACGGGGTTGTTGACTGGATACTATTATGCATTATCAACATTTTTTCTGGTCTGTGGTTTTTATTATTTGGGAATCTTGTTATTCAAATGTTTAATTTAATGTAGTCTACTATTGATCTTTAATCTTCTTTGATTTGTGCTTTCTCTATTTTAAACACCTAAGGTAAAACAATTATTTTAATTTGTAAAGTTTTCATTTTGTACTTTTTTCACTCAGGTCTTGAACCCTCTGGTTACTCCCCACCCAAAATAGAAAACCATGGGCCCACTCCACTGACTGTGTAACTCCCCCTTTCCCTACTCTTTTGGAAGCCGCCTCTCTACTCAGTGTCCAGCTAGGTGTGCCCTGCTTGAGTGCTCCCTGTTCCCTTGATCCGCATGTCTCTTACAATATCACACTGTTTAAATTACCATGGCTTCATAGTAAGTTAACTTTAAATTTTTCTCACATACTTGATTCCATCTAATGTTTAATATTGATGAATTTCTACCTTCTTCCTGAGCAATATAAGGTATCCACAACAACCACTAATCTTCCCTAACACATTAAATTATATAGGTCTAATCCTGGTTTTCTGTGATAGTTTGGAAGTTACATGCTCTTACTATTAGGGTCATAATTCTAACAATAAATATATGCATACAATTAAAGTTTATCTCAGTTTATCTTATCTCAGACCTTTCTAAATGGAATCACTTTCTTTCTGCCTGAAGTACATCTTTTAGAATTTTTGCCATAGAACCTAAGGATGTACGCTTTCATTCTTCCAGGATATTTTTAGCAGGGACAGAACACAGTGCTGAAGGTTTCTTTCAGAATATATTCCGCCTGTTGATTTCCACTGTTACTGTTGAGAGTCAACTGTCAGTCTCATTCCTGTTCCTTTTTAAGGTCATCTTTTTCCTCCAGATGCTTTCGAGTTTGTCTTTTGTTTTTGCAATTTCATTATAGTATGTCGAGATTTCTTTTTTATTTATCCATCTTGGAATTTGGGCTTCCTGAATCTGTAGACTAGTGCCACATCAATCCTGGAAAATTCTCGACAAATATCATCTTTGATCTATTCTCTTTCTTTTGAGATTAAAAGGAAGTCTGACCTATCTACTGAATCCTGTTTGTACTTCTCTTTCCTATCATTCTTCCTTTCAGCCCTCTTCTGGCATGTCCTATCTGCTGCTAAAAACATTCTTGGATTCCCACCTTTTGGTTATTATATTTCATTTTTAGAAATTCTATTAACCTACACCACCTGTTTAGTTTCTTCTCTCCAGATACATAAGATTGCCTTATTTCTTTAAATATAAAAACCACTCTGAATGATCAGGGAGCTTTCCATTGGTTCCTGCCTTGTTTTCTTGTTTGGATTATCTTATTGCACGCTGCTAAAAGCCCGTGAAAAATATGAGGATTCCTCAAGATCTTGGATGATGATGCCTCTGTCCAGAGATCATGGTTTTCATTTACTTCTAGTCTTTCAAGCTGGCTGCAATCGCAGGAGGGCCAGCCTTTTGTTTCAACCTTTCAGAACACCTTCTTTGCCCTGCTGTTTCCAGACTCCAGTGACCTGAGATTCTCCAGCTGGAGTTCACTCCAGCAGTGCAGCCCTGCAGGGTCCCAGCTTAGTAGGGTACATGGAGCTCTACGATAACAGCCCCACACCCAGAAGGAGCTGGGTTCTGACTTTGGAATCAGCCCGCACTGCTATTGAAGCCATAGCCTGGCTCTATAGCTGTTTTCTCCTGGTACAGGAAGCAGCTTTTAGTCTGGCTGGTGCACATGTAAAATCTGCAGGTAGTACTTTACACCAGCAGCCTGAAGGCATTCCATTCCCTTCTGCCTCCTGTCGTCCCCGAGAACTCCTCTGTTAACCTTTGTAAGTAATCCTTCTTTTCTCTCTAGTTGCTCTTATAATTTTGCTTTTGGTGTTCTGCAATTTTGAGTCTTCTGGGTAATTTGCTCAGTTCTCAAAGCTTACTGTTTTCTTCAGCTGTGTTTAATCTGTAGGTTAACTGTTCATTTGGTTTATCACAATGACCATGTTTTCACTTCTTCAAGTTCTAAGTTCTCCAGATCCTCATTTTTTTATAGTATCCTTTTTTATTATGGTTTCGATTCCTTTTTTAAAAATCTCCAGTCATTGTGAACATTTTTTGTGGTACATTATTTCCTCATGTGGCTATGAGCTCACCTTCTGTCCTGAGGTTGCAAGTCTTCCTATAGAATGGTCTTATCTCTGCTTTTGTCAGGAATGACAGGGATTTATGGGTTTATGTCAACATTCCTGTCCCATGTAGAGTATAAGCTCAGAACCCAGACATGAGCATAGTGGGACTGAGAGTCTCCAACAAGAAAGCAAAGAGGCAAAGCCTCAAGCCTACTTCATTCATGAGCTTTGCCACTTCCTTGGGTTGAGGGTATTTGGTCCTGTTTTCTCATATTTCCAAGGTCCCGGGTGAGTGTGAGACTGAGTGAGTGAGTGAGAGAGAGAGAGAGAGAGAGAGAGAGAGAGAGAGTATGTGTGTGTGTGTGTGTGTGTGTGTGTCTTCCCAAGGGGATTCTCAATTCTAGTTCCCCTACCTTTTGTAGTCACATCTCCTGCCCCTGGCGAGTGATGAAACTCTAGTCCTGGTTATAAACTTGCAAAGCACCATGGCAGAAGCCCCCAAGCTTATCACTAGCTTTCGGTTCCCTCTTCTTTCCTGAAACCTGGAAATTTCTTTTTCTCTCAAGTTTGGCTTATTAAAATTGTAGTCATATTTTGGACATCTGTATGTGTATGCTTGGGGGAGGTGGGAGGCGAAATCCATATTAACTCCATCCTGGATGTGTGAGTCAAGGAAGTGTCAAGAGTCCTTATCCTCTGGGAGCATGTCACAGCTTGAGGTCCATGTGTGTAAAAACTTCTACCTGTAACACCTGGATCATTCAAACATTTTGGTGAGCCTGGTGTTTGCTAGGACTACAGTGGGATAAGAATTATAGTTGTCTCTTGAGGCCTAGTCTGCCAGGGACCTCATTTAATACAGGAAGGAACAACTGCTGTGGAGGTAGGAGTTTCAGAAGACAACACCTGGGCTAAAAGTTGGAGACTTCGGGATGAAGACAAGGTTGGGACAAAGGGGCTGGGATAGAAGCAGACAGATGCAAGGACAGGTTTGTAAGAGCAGCACGTGGTTTAGAAGGACTGGCAAAAGACAAAAAAGTGAAGAATAGTTTGTAGCCAGAATGCAAAGGCTTTCAAAAGTTCCTATGAAGGAATGTGTATTTTAGCCTAATTGTTGCAAGGGAAAATCTTAAAAGATTAAGGTGATACACAAAAAAGCTAGGCTGGCTTAAGAGAAACACAACTTTGGTGGCTATAGATAGGACAGATTAAAAGAAGCCAGAAAAATAGGGAAACTACATGAACAGCTACTGTAAGAATCTAGGAGAAACCCAAAGACATTTTGGCCTAAAATATTATGTAGGGATATTAAGAAAGGAATGAGTTAGACATTTTGGAGACACAGCAAGACAGAGGCCTGTATGTTGTCAAATTCAGCAAAAACAAAAACAAAAAAACCCAAACCAAACCAACAGCAAAAAAAAGGAACTCCAATTAAATTTGAGCTTTGGAAAAACAATGAAAAATTTCTAGTATGTCTCATGCAGTATCTGGGTCATACTAGATGTCCTATATTTTATCTGGCAATCCTACCTGTGGCCAATTATCCATGAATATTGTAGTGGGAAATGAAGAACAGGGAGGGAAAATGCCTAGGCATGAACAAAAGGGTTCAGCCCGAATGAACAAGGCTTGGTTGGCAAAGTGGAGACGCGTGCTTACCTGCATTGTAACTAGTCTGTCATCCACCATCACCTCCTTTGTCAGAAAGTCTGCTCCTATTGTAGCTTTGTACTGATTACTGAATTTCTTGTTCACATACTGGTTCATGAGTGATGTCTTACCAACTCTGAAATTGGAGAAAAACCACAAGTATAGGTCAACTAGCAAGGGATGGAAAACAGATTCTGATCCTTGCAGCTCTGAAGATACCTGCCTATCTTAAAGGAGAACAAGGAACTGTAATCACAACAGAGAGCCGTGCCAGCCAACTGCCCAGTGTTACTCATTCGAGGTTGTATTTTCTCCTGGGATAAAAATACGGGGTACAGATATGGGCCAGATGTTGAAAAGCTGCTTTTAAGTTTGTACAAGCAAGTCAGATGGTAGAACCTAGTATTATCTTTTTCCTTCCAGAAAGATGTCAGCAAATACTCTCCTTCTAAAAGGAGCTACAGCAATAAGATCACTCCACCACTCCAAAAATATCTCTGCTGTCTTGGGTGTCTCTCCACTTAGGGGTTGCTATTCAGTCTAAGAAAGTAATAGCACAGGAGGAAGTCAATGGCTGCGAGCAGACATACTCACCAGTCAGCCACCTGCTGCTTCAAAGTTTAAAATCTGAAGTGGAGAAAGCATCAATATTCCACCAAATCAGACTCTATCTCAGAGTAAGCTCCTCCAGAGATGTCTTCCAATAAGAAAACTCAGCAAGAGACAATGTGTGGATTTTTTTTGGTGATGAGATTAGCTGGGGCAGGTTGAGGATAATACAAAAGGCTTCTTCAAAGTCAACGGGAATGCCTTCCTTTCCCACTGAGAAAAACACTCATTTTCATATGCAGAGAACCTGGTAGTACAGTTATGGCTTAAGGCAGTGTTCTCCAACCCAGGCCACCTGGATCTGAATTTTCAGAGGAGGCCAGGAGATCTGTAATCAAATAAAGGCTTGGTGATTCTTTCCAGGCAAGTTTGGGCCTAAAACAATACCCTTCAATCCTGACACCACACTAGAGTCACCAGGAGTAAGGGAGGCAAGGGAGGGACAGAGACAGAGAGACAGAGAGATGTGTGTATTTAAGTACTGCTAACTAGGCCCAACCCACTGGTATGGAAGACTTTTAAAAGGCTCCTCAGGGGGCGCCTGGGTGGCTCAGTCACTTGGCGTCTGCCTTCGGCTCAGATCATGATCCCAGCGTCCTGGGATCAAGCCTCACGTTGGGCTCCCTGCTCCGCGGGAAGCCTGCTTCTCCCTCTCCCACTCCCCCTGCTTGTGTTCCCTCTCTTGCTATGTCTCTCTCTGGCAAATAAATAAATAAAATCTTTTAAAAAAGAAATAAATAAAAGGTTCCTCAGGCAATTAAAAAAGCCAGCCAGGGTAGAAAAATCACTGCCTTTTTAAAGGGCAGGGAGCTCTGGGATAAGGAGGCATACCTGCATTTATTATTATTATTTTTTAAAAAAATACAGGGGCACCTGGGTGGCTCAGTCATTAAGTGTCTGCCTTCGGCTCAGGTCATGATCCTGGGGTCCTGGTATCGAGCCCCGCATCGAGCTCCCTGCTCAGCGGGAAGCCTGCTTCTCCCCCCTCTCCCATTCCCCCTGCTTGTTGTTCCTGCTCTCACTCTCTCTCTCTCTGTCAAATTAATAAAGATCTTAAAAAAAAAAAATACATAGCTTCCAGTTGGCCTAAGGTTTCACAGGTCACTTCAGATGCTGAGTCTGAAAAGTCTCCCACAGAATCCTAACAGCTACTAAAGAGCTGGTCACTTACTTAGTGGCAGATCTAGGATCAGAATCCAGTTATCCAGTCCCAGGTTCTTTTGAATATAGACCTGAATCTGGCACAGCGGTGGGAGGATACCGCACAGCACACCCCAAACCCACAACTGGTAGGCATGAGGTCAGTGGCAACAAATCTACATAAACAGAACTCCCTTGTCTAACCAGCTCAGAAAAAAGGGATTCCATGAAACTATTCTTGAGTTTAAATAGCTACCCCTTCCCCCAAATCATGCCAAAGATCAGGGAACGAAGGGTTACAGAACAAGAGATCATTCACATTTCTGCTGTGCCCGAAAGAGCAGGAGACCTAGGGCCCTACTGCCACCACTATTAGAGAAGGAACTGCCAAATGTCAGCATGGAGGGCACAGGCTTCAAGGAGGTCACATTTATTAACCCAAGCCAACATGTTAGTTCAAACGGTGAGAACCACTTACCCAGAATCTCCCAGGATGATAACCTTCAGCAACACTTTCTTCCTAGAGGTCATCCTTCAAACTAAAAGGAAAAAGGAGAAAGCACTGTGAGTGTGACAGAAGTACCAAGGCTAACCACATCCCCCAGTGTAAACATCGAAACAGCCCCGGGAGCACTGAGTCTTGGGCCTTTCTGTTGGCTATTTCCCTGCCATCCAGGGGGACTGGGCAGAGAGCAGTATCAGTCATTAGAACTCTGGACCCAAGCTGGGCAAAATAGTGAGTCAGGCTCATCCTGCCCCTCGGGGTAGTCCAAAAGAACGGATTCTCCCTCTTGGATGTTGGATCAGTGTGGATTAATGCTCCAACTTCCTCAACAGCTCAGTCCTGCTTCATTTAAGTCTCTGCTCACATTGCACTTCCTCAGAGAGGTGATGTTATCTAAAGTAGCACACCCTCTCCCCATCTGCTCTATCCCTTTACATTGCCTTAGTTTTCTTCAGAGCACTTAACCACTACTTGGCATCTGAATCTATTACATTTGTCTGTCTTCTCCCTTTTCTTTTTTTTAAAAAGATTTTATTTATTTATTTGACAGAGAGAGAGACAGTGAGAGCAGGAACACAAGCAGGGGGAGTGGGAGAGGGAGAAGCAGGCTTCCCGCGGAGCAGGGAGCCTGATGCGGGGCTCGATCCCAGGACCCTGGGATCATGACCTGAGCCGAAGGCAGACGCTTAACGACTGAGCCACCCAGGCGCCCGTCTTCTCCCTTTTCGAATAACCTCCACCAAGACAGTTTTATTCCCCACTACATCTCTAGTGCCAAGTAGAGAATTATTATCAAATATTGGGGTAGTGTGAGAATAATACCTGACCTGTAGCTCTTGGAATCACCCTTTTCTAGAAAACCTTTCAGGCAGCCTTCCCTACCCTTGACTAGACAATGTAAGATGCCTAATCTTTGCTCATCTCTATTCCAGAACTTGCTCCTATTTACTTTTCAAGACAGGGTTCCGGTCTTAATTATCCCTTAGTCTCCTGAACCTGACTCAGTGACTTTCAGAAAAGCAGAAGTCTTAAATTCTGGACCCCAAAGTTAGCAACTTATCTAAAACTGCTAGACGATCACTCCTCCGACAGCTGGAATCCCCAGCGTGAGGCCTGTGTTCTCTGGAACCAGGAATTCAAGACTGAATGTTAGAACCCTCGAGAATGACACCTATACCTGAGAGCCCTTAGCTCTGGTCCATTATCCTCAGGAGACCGTGAAACAGCAAGGGCAGGAGACTACAAGTAACAAGGCAAGGGTCAACATCTACCTCCTGCCTTCAGTGGAGCTGCGGGAAAGAAGTGTTTACATATAAAAAAAGGTAGGTAAGGAACTGGGTTCAGTAAAGCCTGTTGTTATTCTTCTACAGTTTGGGAGAACAAGGCAGTCAAAACTAGGTCTCAGAAAAGCTATTTTTTAGTTTCATTTTTATTTTTTTTAAAGATTTTTATTTATTTATGTGTCGGGGGAGGGGCGGTAAGTGCACAAGTAGAGGCAGTGGCAGGCAGAGGGAGCAGGCTTCCCGTTGAGCAGGGAGCCCGATGTAGGGCTTGATCCCAGGACCCTGGGCCATGACCTGAGCCGAAGGCAGACGCTTAACCAACTGAACCACCCAGGCGTCCCTTAAGTTTCATTTTTAACCACCTAGCTTCTAGAAGGCTGAGGCTGGCTATAGTGACTGTGACTTTATCCTTTAGTGCTTGCTTCTGTTACATTCTTATACATCTAATATTCCTTTGAGTGAATTAAGTGTTTAAATAGCTATTCCTGCCTTTTACTTAATATACCAAAAATCTGGGGAAAGTAATGCTGTAAAGAACATTTTTGAACTTCAGTTTGTGGGATCATTTCCTTGGGACCCAGCAACAGCCATGGGGCGGTGCAGGTGGGGTGGGCATGATCTTCTTAGATTCAGACTCACAGGATTATCACAGGCCATACCTGGCACTTGCCTACTGAGGAGGACTGGGGGGACAAGAACACACCTTGCTGGCTGTTCTTTCAACAATCCACACAGCAGATGGCTCTGGTATAGGGAGACAGTGTGGGTTCAACCCCTGACTTAAAACCCTCATTGTTGAGGGGATCCAATCATCTGTTTTAATAGCTCTGTTGGAGGGCGCCTGGGTGGCTCAGTTGGTTAAGCGACTGCCTTCGGCTCAGGTCATGGTCCTGGAGTCCCGGGATCGAGTCCCGCATCGGGCTCCCTGCTCGGCGGGGAGCCTGCTTCTCCCTCTGACCCTACCCCCTCTCATGTGCTCTCTCTCTCTCATTCTCTCTGTCTCAAATAAATAAAATCTTAAAAAAAAAAAAAAAAAAGCTCTGTTGGCTTCTTGTGAGGAACACAACCAGCACAAGAGCCACTGTACTCTGTGAAGCCCAAGCATGGGGCTCCATGGGGGTACTTCACAGCCTCTCCCTATCCAGATGCAATTACCAACCAGGAGACATTTTACCATAAGCTACAGTGCCCAGCAACAGAAGGTGACAGTCTGCCTTCATCAGGTTCCCCAGAAAAAAAGTTAACCAAAGGTCAAATTCTCACACAGGCAAAAGGGTTCTGTTAAACTTAACTTACAGATATTGTTTAGGAATGGGGTTACTGAATCAAAAGTATAAACATTTTCATGACTTTCACTAATTCACTTTTCTGAAGGATTTTCCAAATTTATACTGCAACCACTGTTGCAGTGGTTAACAGCAGTATAGGACTTAAGTAAGAAAATGCCAATCTTACTGAAACAAAGGAAATCGGAATTAATGAAGAGATATCTCCAATAGGAAGACTTAATGCAGGGATGTAAATTCTCCTCTACTGAAACAATCCCAAGGATTTTTTTGGAACTTGAAATAATTCTATTCATCAAAATAAATTCACAAGAGTCCCTCCCATTCTTCCCCAAAAGAATAATGACAAGAGGACAGAGGACTTGCCTTAACAGTCTTGGAAAGTATGTTATAAAAATACAGTATTAAAAGTATGGGGCTGGAATAGGACTAAACAGAAAAATAACCCAGAAATGAAAAATTTGGACAAATATGGCATTATAAAATTCAGTAGCAAAAGGATGAAAAAAAAAATTCACTAAGTGAAGGCAGCCAGAAAAATTCTGAGAATTAAGATCCTTACACTTCAAAAAAAAAAAAAAACCTTACACTTCATGCTCCAAAACAGATTACCAAAGGAGTAAAGATGTAAATGTAAAAATGAAGTTGAAAGGAATACAATATTGGGTTTTTCCTGGATTGTAGAACTACAAATAGCTTTGTTTTCTTTATACTATCTTATTGTGACCTTTGGAGGAACATATTACCCTTAAACTGAAAAAGCTATTTCCATTTTGGAGAAAAACGTTAATCTGCTGATTTTTCAAGTAAGTTTTCTCATTACAAAAATAGTCCTTATTCATCATGAAAGATGAACTACACACGAATGAGGATTTTCATCCTCACTTAGGGCCTGTCGAACATTCAAGGGTTGTTGCAAATGATACTCAACAGTGGATCTGAAGAAACCCAACAAGTGGTTTCACCGGGATGTTGACGGCTTTAAACTGGCAAAGTTCAGAGCCATGTTTTTGTACTTACTGTTCTCCAGGATCAAGAATGGGGGACACTTGTTTCTAGAAAAGAGCTAAGAAAAAAAAACAAAACAAAACTCAAGCACAACTTTTGCTACAAGAAGCTGCCCAAGCTGCAATGTCTTTAAAATCTCCACTCGCAGTTTCTTCTGTTACTGATTTCCATCAACACCTTCATGGATTTCTGAAGACTGAAATTACTTTTTGAAATTCTACAAACTAAGGGGATGCCTGGCTGGCTCAGGTGGTAGTGCATGCAACTCGATCTCAGGGTTTTGAGTTCTAGCCCCAGGTTGGGCATAGAGTTTACTTAAAAATAAATAAATAAATAAATAAATAAATAAATAAATAAATAAATAAATAAAAATCCTACAAACTAGAAACTTCTAACTGGGAAACAGTTTCTAACACAGAGACCATTCCTTTTACAGGAGAAACTGAAGCAGGCAAAGAGTTGTAACAAGGTCCCTAGCCACTGTGTTCCTTGGAAATGAATATTTTGGATAACATCTATTAATCCATTTACATATGATATCTTCTAAAACCTTTTTAGAATAAGGTGTATTCAGAACACATTTCCTTCCTTCTGCTTTCAAACCAAGCCTCATTAGTGTGCTCTGGAACGACTTCCTAGGAAGAACAAGCAATACTAACTATTCCATATGATGCATCAATTCTTTCCCTCAAGTATAATTTTTTCTCACGTAATAAATCAAAAGCTAGAATGTTCCTCTGTTAGCCTGGAGTTACCACCTTCTTCATCTCTGAAGCAGAGAAACAAACTGGCCATAAAGGCAGACACAACAAAGAAACCCCATGTAGGTAAAAAGGTCAGGAAAATAATATCCAAGGGTCTGGGCTGGGCACGGCCAGCGAGGTCAGAAAGGGCCCAATAGAGAATGGTCAGGGCGAGGGCAGTGAGAACAGAGAACTGCTATGGGAAAAACTGGAGGAGCAGGGAAGGGGTAGAAGTTGGCGGTCAGCGGGCCATTGCAAAGTCTGGCCAATGCAACTTTGTGTGGTGCTCACAAACTTAAGATGACTGCTCAAGTAGAGGTGAGACTAGGGAGTTGCAGTATCAAGGAGTTGAAAGCAAAGCGTTTGCAAAGCCATCAAGACAACTATAAAACACAGGGAATGAAGGTGAACCAGGTGTTGTTATCATGTCCAAGATCACAGCAATTGAGTGGCAGAGCTGGAATTGTCACAAGTGTCAGCCCAGGCCTCAATATTTGACCATCATGCCACTCTGTAATATCAGCTCTCACCGCAAAGAGGATTCTGGTTCACCAGGGCTGGGGATCAGTCCTCAATTAGGCATTCTTAAAAGTTCCTTCTGGCAACTGAGGCACACACACCAGGTTTGGAAAATACTGACTTGAGGTCCATAACTGCTGTTCTGATTTACATGTGTGTCTGATACAGTGATAGCACATATGTTAGAGGTGCAAG